AGACACAGAGAGAAGGAAAGTGAGAAATCATCCCCCAGGGAAAGTGACCATGCTGCAATCTCTTCTCCTCTAGTCTCTTCTCAGGATTCTGGGCACGTAAACACATGAGTTTGGCATGACACCAAGTTACTGGGTCTGGTACTCAAACCATGGCCAGCCATATGGGAGTCTAGTGCCTTAACCACTATGCAACACACTGACTCAAAGGGAGTTTTTTGTTTGTTTTTCAAGAGAGAGCTTTTTGTTATAGAGCGTGTGTGCTCGCCAGAGAGACAGAAAGCAAGAAATGACCCCCCAGGGGAGATGGCCATTCTGCAGTCCCTTCTCTTCCATTTTCCTCTCGGGATCTTGGGTATGCACACACTCGTGCCTGACATGAATTTCAAACATATGGGTTCGTGACTCAAACTGCAATCAACCACATGGGAGTCCAGCACCTTAACCACTATACCATCTGCTGGTCCCCAAAAGTAGTTTTAAAACACACACATGTTGCATGTATCAGTGCTAGCCTTGATTTAGCACTGCTAAAAGAAATAAATTGACATAGTTAGTTTAGTTTTATTAATTTTATATTATTTAGAAAATAATACACACACACACACTTTGACTTCTCAGATATTCAGATTGATTGCTCATAAACTCAAATTTATTTTTTCCGATATCTAAAAGAGGTATGCCATAGAGAGAAATGTCTTAACTAACTATTATACTTCACCTTAATACCTCAGTTTGATTTTATATTTTATTCCATGATTCCTCTGCTTTTTAATATAAAGTCTTGAGAAATTACTCTCAAAGATGCACATTTTTAAAAAATTTTTTATGTTTTTGCCACTGGGCACATGCGCTTGCCAGAGACAGAGAGAGGGAAAGTGAGAACTCATCCCCCAGCAGGCATGACCATGCCACAATACCTTTTCCTCCATTCTCCTCTTGGGATTTTGGGCATGCATACACATGTGCATGGTGTGATTTCCAAGCTACCAGATCTAGGACTCAAACTGCAGTCTATGATGTGAGAATCCAGTGCCTCAACCACCACCTGCTGGCCTGTACCATATTTTTATGATGCCTTCACAGATGGTTTTCTGTCTGATATGGAACACCTCATATAATTAAAATAACAGAACTAGAGACCAGCAGATGGCATGGTGGTTAAGGTACTAGACATTCCCACAAGGCTGACCGTGGGTCGAGTCCCAGACCTGGTAGCTTGCTTTCTCACTTCTCTCTCTCTAGTCAAATTAAAATAAATGAATGAATAAATAAAATTAAATCAATAATTCTTTGAACAAAATAACAGAGCTAACTGGGGCCAGCAAGTGACATGGTGGTTGAGTCACTGGACTCCCACATGGCCAACTGCGTTTTGAGTGACAGACACAGTTGCTCAAAAATCACACTGACTACATGCATGCCTCAAATCCCAAGAGGAGAATGGAGGAGAAGGGATTGATGTGTGGCCATCCACCCTGAGGGGTGATTTTTCACTTTCCCTCTTTTTGTCTCTCCCTGGTAGTGTATACATACACCCTATGGCAAAATCCTTAATAATAAGTGAATGAATGAATGAATAAATAAATAAATAAATAACAGAGCTAACTGCCAGCTCATCACTTTATTTTATATTTTAATCTTTTTTTTTAATTTGTCAAAATATACATGCACTCACCAGAGCGAGTGAGCGAGCTAGAGAGAGAGAGAGAGAGAGAGAAAGAGAGAAAACTCCCCCATGGGAAATAGTTACACTGCAATCCCTCTTCCATTTCTCCTTCCTTTCTAGATTTTGGACACACATGCACATGTACCTAGTGTGATTCTCAAGTTGCCAGGTCTAGGACTTGAACCAGCTGTTGGCCATTTGGAATCTAGCTCACTTAACCACCAAGCCATGGGCTGGCCTTCTCCACTTTAATGTTTTCTATTTTTGTACACTTTCCAAAGAGAGAGAGAGAGAAAGAGAGTGAGAAATCACCACCCACCTCAGGGGGAATAGCTATACCACAATCCCTTCTCCATTTTTCTCTCGGGGTTTTGGGCACACACACACACAAGTCCAGCGTGTTTTACAAGCCACCAAGTCCAACACTTGAACTGCATCAGTCATGCGGGACCTAGCACCTTAACCGCCATGCCACCCACCTGACTGTCCACTTTATTTATTTATTTATTTATTTTGATTATAAAGCAAGTTTATTTCTGCAGAGATGTCATTGCTTGTCACAGGGCAGAAATAAGAGGAAACTCTGATATTCGGCCTCTTTGTCCCTAAAAATATGGAACGCTTCACGAATTTGCATGTCATCCTTGTGCAGGGGCCATGCTAATCTTCTCTGTATCATTCCAATTTTAGTATATGTGCTGCCGAAGCGAGCACCGTCCACTTTATTTTTGAAGGCAAACATTTAATGCGATGTAGTCATTAATTTCTCTTTAATTACAACATTATCTCCCAAAATGATGGCTTCTGATAAAGTTGTCTTTTATTTCTTTTGCAGGGAAAATTTAGATACATATCTTCAAAATGGCCCAAATAGAATTGGAAGAACGTACAAGAAGGCCCTTTATCTTCAGTACACAGATGAACACTTTAAGACGACTGTTGAAAAGCCAGACTGGCTAGGATTTTTAGGCCCTATTATCAAAGCTGAAACTGGAGATAAAGTTTATGTACATTTAAAAAACTATGCCTCCAGGGCCTACACTTTTCATCCACACGGAGTAACTTACTACAAGGAGCATGAGGGTGAGTCTAGCTCATGTCGTTGGAATTTCCTCTGACTTTTCAGCAAGAGCATGGGGATCTCTCTTCTTAGAGAGGACCTGAAACTTGCGTAGCTCGAAATTGTTTCAACGACGTTTCTTTGCCTCATCGTCGTCACATTGTGCTTCTCTTGGTTGTGCCTGTTTGGGTAAAGTGTGAATGGGACAGGATTTCTCAGTGGACTCAGAGAGTGAGGTAGGCAGTGAGAATGGAGCTTCCTGCCCAGTATCCAATTCCCTTACAGACAAATAGAATAAGAAAAATGGACTATGTGCATGAAAGGGCAGACGACATAGAAATCAGACCAGAGGACTTGAGATGGGGACTGTCTTCTTTCTGAAGTTCGTCCATGTAAATATACTGCGGTGTTTTCACTGCTCATCTTTTTTTCTTTTCTTTTCTTTTTTTTTTTTTTTGAAGAGGTTTTTTGCCATAGGGCACATACACTCACCAGAAAGACAGAGAGACAGAGAAACAGAAAGCGAGAAATCACCCCCCAGGGGGATGGCCATGCCGCAATCCCTTCTCCTCCAGTCTCCTCTCGGGATCTTGGGCACACACGCACACGTGCCCAGTGTGTGTTTAAGCCACTGGGTCCAGGACTCGAACCATGGTTGGCTACATGGGAGTCCAGCAACATAGCCATTATGGTAACTGCTGGTCCCTCACTGTTCATCTCAATGTTTGACAGACTCTGTCTAGCATCAGTAGTCTCATACCTTGGTCAACTGGTGCATGTGCCTATTTGACCTGAGAATCACATGTGAGACACAATTAACCAAAAGGTTACTTGAATGAAAGACTTGGAAAACTTAAAAATGGTACATGAAGAACAACGATAAAGTCTCCTTCCTGGGATCTCATTCCTAGTATGTGACAGTGATAATGAAAAGAGGTAGTGTATTGTCGTAAGCAAGGGCTTTGAAATCAATAGGCCAAGGTTCACAGTTCAGACCTACTTTCTGAGTGATTATAAGCAAGTGACTTAAATTCTCTGTTCTTCGATTTCCTCACCTGTGGAATAAGCTCCATGATAGTACCGAGCTCAGTAAATATCAGCTATTATTATAAGCAAAAATGCCGAAGTCGTGCTATAGTTTATCAAAATTGTAAGGGTCAATTCTGGCATATAAAACTAGATTTAATTATTAGTCTTTTTTTTTTTTTTAAGAAAAGATATTATTTTAGAAAGTGAATGTTTTGATCTTATCTCTTGTTTATTTTTTGTTTTCTTTTCTTTTTCTGAACCAGACCATTACATTAATAGCATAAAGGCCGACTGCTCTCATTTCTTTTTTACAATTTCATGGTCTGTTAGAGAATTAATGTTCATTTTAAAGGTATGATAATGGTATTGTGGTTTTGTTTAAGAGAAAACAAGAATTCTTTTTCAATTTTTTAATTTAAAAAAATTTCTAGAGGGCTATCAGCTGGTGGCATGGTGGTTAAGCTGGCTGGATCCCACATGACCAGCTGCCTGTTTCAAGTCCTGGTCTTGGCGCTTTGAGATATTTGCAGGACACATGCGCGTGCATGACCATTCCCCCTGATGGGTGTTTTCTCACTCCCCCATCTCTCCTCACAATCCCACAAGCACATATACTCTCTGGGAAATTTATTTTTTAATTACCAGAGGATGTTTCCGCTCACCAGAGAGAGACAGGGAAAGCGCCTCTCAGGGCAAGCGTGGTCACGATACAATCCCTTCTCCATCTCTCCGTCCTGTTGGGATTCGAAGCTTGCATGTGCACATGCCCTGCGTGCGTTTCAAGCCATCGGGGCTCAGATTCAAACCTCAGTTGACCATGTGGGACCCCGTACCTTAAGCACTAGACTGGCATGAGAGTTCCTATTTTTAAAAGATACATACTCAAGTATTTGTATACATAAAATATGATGTTTAGGATGTGCTTGAAAATAATTTGTGGTGCTACAGTTAAGACTGGATGGAGGGTATAGATGAGACAAAATTGGCCAGAGTTAATCACTATTGAAACTGGGCGATAAGTACATGGACATTCATCCTATTACTTTCTCAACTTTTATATATGTTTAGAAATTTCCAAAATTAAGAGTAAGAAGTTGTTTTAATTCTGTGATTATTTCACATGCAAAAATCTGACATCATATAAGAAGTTTCATATTATAGGGTAATGTAGTCATTTTGCTCAAACTTTTATACCATGACCTGAGGGCAAAAGTTGTTCTTTAAATTGCAAACCAAAAGATAGGATGTCCCTGATATCTATTACTGCCTTCGGAAGACTCATTCCAATATTAAAAAAAAAAAAGTTAATTCTGAGAAATTTCTGGACACACATCCCCCCACACAGCCATTAGATTTCTTACTTCTCTGTGTTCAAGTAGGACATTATTGCAACCCCATGGAACACGTATTAGATGTTGAATAAATGTTGAATAAATGAATGGACTGTCTATTCTCTCTCTTAAGTTCAAACACACTCACTCTGAAACTCCACTGCATGTCTCTTCCTAGGGGCCATCTACCCTGATAATACCGTAGGGGCTCAAAAAGCAGATGACAAGGTGAATCCAGGAGAGCAGTACACGTATATCTTGGACATCAGTGAAGAACAAAGTCCTGGGGAGGGAGATAGCAACTGTGTGACGAGGATTTACCATTCCCACATTGACGCTCCAAAAGATATTGCCTCAGGACTCATCGGACCTTTAATAATCTGCAAAAAAGGTACATTTTCTGATTATTGTTCACAATATATGAACAAAAGACAGGGACAAGGACAGGGCAGTTAGTTTTTTACGTGTTAATGAAGTCTTCTGTGTTGAAATGGAATGGGTAAGATAGAGAGGAGATGAGTCTAGATAGAAAAGAAGGAAAGAACAAGGTAGGCCTAGAAGGAGAAATAGAACGAGCCTTCACTCAAGGAAAATGCCAATGACACTAAGTCACAAGAAATATGGTCTCCTTGGGGATAGGTTTGCTGTATCTAACTTCCAACAGTTGTGTTGAAAGGACAAATGACATTACCAATGTGGCTCTCCCAGTGGCACTGCATAGCGGTAGAGCTGTAGTTATCTGTATTACGTCGGAGACATGATATTACAGTGTTTATTTCTAATGTCATGAAAAAGCATAGCTCAAGAGTATAAAATACAATGTTTATTTAAACATTTTCACTTCAGATTCTCTGGTTAAAAAACAAAAAAAAAAAAAAAAAGAAGAAAATGTTGACCAACAATTTGTAATGACATTTTCTGTGATGGATAAAAATTTTATCTGGTACTAGAAGACAATAATAATTAGTTACCAACAAAGGACTGTTGTTTCAGTTTGTGGTTATATGTACCAGAAGTTAGAGATACAACTGCGAATTGCAACCTTCAGGTTTGGCAAAAAGCACTTAATATTGGGTCGTTGGAAAAGTCGTGATGACTTTTTTGCATAGAGAAATAAGTCATGACCTTTCTGACAGCCTAATAGTTATGTGGTCAGTGAATACCCAAATACATGAGTGTTTCTGAGCCCAGAATATAGACTTTATGCGTAGAAAAATATGTCACAACTTTTCCGATGACCTAACAGTTATGTGGGCAATGAATATCCAGATATGAGTGTTTCCCAAGCCCAGGATTATAGACTATGAGATTCCCTAAGAGATTACTTGTTGGTAAAACAGTAGTGACTGATTCGAATTTGTATTTCCTTAAGAAAATAATACTAGATTTTTTAACTATAAGTCCTCCAAAAATATAAATCAAAACCCATGCTAAAACTTCAGTTCTACTCAAATAATAATCATTTTCACTTCAGATTCTCTGGATAAAGAAAAAGAAAAAAATGTTGACCAAGAATTTGTGGTGATGTTTTCTGTGGTGGATGAAAATCTCAGCTGGTACCTAGAAGATAACATTAAAACATACTGCTCTGAACCAGAGAAAGTTGATGAAGACAATGAGGACTTCCAGGAGAGCAACAGAATGTATTGTAAGATTACAGAAGACATGCTAACTTTACTTTTTCCCCCTTCAGCTATTAATTCCACTAAATTTAGTCCCGCACATGAATAGTGTGTTGCTAGTCTGTGACCCTGATAACAAAGCACCTGGGCATGCGGGGCCAGCAGATGGTGTAGTGGTTATATTGCTGGACTCCGACATGGCCAACTGCAGTTGAGTCCTGGACCCTGTGGCTTGAAAATCACATTGGGAGCATGTGCATGTGTGTCCAAGATCCTGGGAGGAAATGGAGGAGAAGGGATTGTGGCGTAGCCATCCTCCTCAGGAGGGTGATTTTTCCCTCTCGCTGTCTCTGTCTGTCTCTCTCTCTCCACCCAGTGAGCACGTGCACCCTAAGCAAAAACCTTTTAAAAAACAAAAACCAAACAAACACACATAAAGCATCTGTATATACAACTTGATAATGTCTAAATAGGCTAAATTCAAAACTCCATGCCCGCTAAAGCCAGATACACCAAACTTGTTCTTAAACTGATAAAGATAAAACATCATCAGTTATGGTTTACCAGCTGGTTCTATAGCCTAGTGGTAAGGGAGTCAGATCCTACATGCTTGATTGAAGTTCAAATCCTGGCCCAGGCAGCTTGAAAAACCACAGTAGGCACGTGTGCATGCATGCCCCCAATATTGACAGGATAGAGAGATGGAGGCGAAAAGACGCAGTGTGATGAGGCCACATTGGGAGGTGGTTTCTCCCTCTCCTCTTTCTTTCTCTCTGTCTTTCTGTCCTTAATGCATATGTATGTTAAAATTATATACTTATCTTCCAAACTTGTTCTAAAAATTATTTGAAGCAGTCTAAAATTATTAACTAAATGCTTAAAATTATTCTTGTATTATAGAACATCTAACTATATTTAAGATAATAGTTCAAATCATTAGTTCTAAAGAGTATTTGTTAAAAATATTGGGAACCAGCAGTTAGCGTAATGGCTATGTCGCTGGACTCCCACGTAGTTGACCGCGGTTCGCGTCCTGGACCTGGTGGCTTAAAACTCATGCCAGGCACGTGTGCGTGCTTGCCCAAGATCCCGAGAGGAGAATTGAGGAGAAGGGGTTGTGGCATGACCATCCCCCCTGGGGGGTGATTTCTCGCTTTCTGTCTCTATGTCTCTCTCTGTCTGTCTGGCAAGCGCACGCGCCCTATAGCGAAAATCTCCCCCCCCAAAAAAATATATATATTACATTACTCTTACGAGGCTCCTCACTCTATAGCATTCTTTTCCATATTTAAGTTAATTTTATATATTTTAGAAATGCCTGGGACCAGCAGTTGGCATAATTGGCTGTGTCGCTGGACTCCCATGTAGTTGACCACAGTTCAAGTCTTGGACCTGGTGGCTTAAACTCATGCCAGGCACGTGTGCGTGGGTACCCAAGATCCCGAGAAGAGAACGGAGGAGAAGGGATTGCAGCATGGCCATCCTCCCTGGGGGGTGATTTCTCACTTTCTGTCTCTCTGTCTCTCTCTGGCTTTCTGATGAGCGCATGCACTCTATAGCAAAAATCTCTCCAAAAAAAAAAAGAAAAAGAAAAAAAGAAATGCCTTCTTGACAACCTAGGCATTTTTAAAAATTCTCAGACACATATACTGAACTTAATAGGATTACCTATTTCTCAGAATCTTCATAAAAAGCCAAGTCTTGTAACACAAACTAGAACAATAAGTAGAGAGTTTTGTTTGTGTTTAGCTATTGAAAATAATCTTTATTCAGAAACTGAGAACACAGACAAAACTAGCTGCACTACCAAAATAAACTAACAAAGGACAGGGTTTTGTTTCTAACTTTTGCTTCCATCTGGTTGGAGGTTCCTCGTTCATGCTTTCATCCTGCCCCTGCTCTGTGCTAACAAAAAGAGATGATAGAAAAAAAAGACTCAAACTTCTAGTCTGGGTGGGTTTGTTCAGTGTCACTGTCATACTGGTATTGATGGTCCTTCCCAGGGTTAATTCCACCCAGAAAGCTTCTAGGCTGACCCAGTTTGCATAGTGACCCTAAGCTTTGTCCAGCGGTCTCAGCCCTCTTGCTTTTGAACTGGTAGGTCTGTGGTTCTGGTTTTTGGTCTTTGCATTTCTATTTTCCCCGGTTCACATCTGTTTCAATTTTGCCTTCCAATCACAAACAAACAAAACAAAACAGAAAACAAAGCTTTCCTTGTATTCTTATTACAAAAGAAACTCAGAACAGAAAAATTATAAAAAATTTCATAAGCAAAAAGAAAAAAAAAAAGCTCTATATTACCACTACTAACATAATTAATAATGGAGTGATTACTAAATACCTTTCAATCTTTTTTAATCCAGTATGTGGGAACTTTAAAATGTTTGTGAAAAATGGAATTACAGCATGAATTAAAATGTTCAAAATCTCCACATAGGTTTCCAGACTATACATTTCTACGAACTTTTTGAAGCTCTCCCCCTCATCTACGTGTGTGTGTTTTGTATATGTTTGTGTGTATGCAGACATTTGTATTTACACACTGGTACAACTAATGTGAATGGTTTATAACAAAGAGAACAAATAGGTTTCATCTCTAGTATTGTGTTCATCTGCTAATGTACTGTTGGCCTGAATCCTCAGGCTGAATCGAGTCCAAAACGAGAGTGCTGTGGTTGATTAGCCATGTCTGACATGGGTATGGGAGGGAGGAATAGCAATGGCTTCAACTTCTGTGGAGGCAACTTTCGGGATCCAAGGCACCAATATCTGTCAGTCACAAACTCTGCTTTTTATTGCAGCGGTGAATGGATATGCTTTTGGAAGTCTCCCAGGACTCTCCATGTGTGCAGGAGACCAGGTGAAATGGTATCTTTTTGGTATGGGTAATGAAGTTGACGTGCACGCAGCTTTCTTTCACGGCCAAGCACTGACTAACAAGAACTACCGGATTGATACAGTCAACCTCTTTCCTGCTACCCTTTTTGAGGCTTCTATGGTGGCCCAGAATCCTGGAGAATGGATGCTTAGCTGTCAGAATCTAAACCATCTGAAAGGTAGAGTATATTTACCTGAAATTATCTGTCAACTGAAAAAGTCATGTGTCAATTACTCTTCATGGGGCGATTGCTGGGATCAGAATCTAAAAGCTTAAATATCTTTGGAATATTTGGACTTTCAACTGAGATCTTAGTTTTATTCTTATGATGGTATAAATTATAACATATTTTTTTAAAAAAGGCTAAAGATTGGAATGTTTATTAAGTAATGAAACCTGGAAATACATTATTTTTTGAAAAGAACTAGTGGTCCTGAAAGTATTATACTGCCTTGCAAGTATAAAATTGTATATAATTTATCAGCTTTGTAAAACACACAATTCTGTAAAGCCCAGAAGATTTAAACATTGAACTGAAAAGTAATCTGCCTTTTGACGTGTTTCTATCAAGTGTAATGAAATCTGTCTGGCTATTCCTTGATTTTACTTAATAAAACCTCTTTCTCTTTAATATAAGGTGATAAAAATAGTCCTTGCTCTTAAAAATACATAAATCTGTTTGTAATATTGGTCTCCCAAAGAAACTAAGCTTAATTTAGGTCTTGGGTATATTACCTTGACCTGCAGACGTATTTGTGTTTATCGACTATAACACAAATATGTTTATAGTTGGTTACCCTAGTGTATAATATTATTTCTTCAATTTCCATTTGTTAACTCACCTGCATTTTTACAGGGCAGTAGGAGAGAGAAACATTCCCTCTGGTAACCAGTGCCTCCTTCTGTGTTGTTTCAGCTGGTTTGCAGGCCTTTTTCCAGGTCCAGGACTGTAAAAAGCCTCCGTCAGAGGACAACATCCCCGGGAGACAGATCAGACAGTATTACATTGCTGCAGAGGAAATTATCTGGAACTATGCACCCTCTGGCATAGACACCTTCACCAAAGAAAACTTAACAGCACCCGGAAGGTAATTCTCAAAAATGACTTTAATTTTAAAATATGCTCTCCCTTTCAAAACAAACAAGTGAACATGAAAGACTGATTTAGAAATGAAATTTTCATTGATGTAAAAAATTGAGTAACTAGACTGCTCTGTTTATTTAAGTGATTGATATAAATCCGAGTTTGAGAACTATGACTTTTGAATCCATGAGAAACGAGGGGTTATCAAATACTCAGGAAAGTCTGAGAAAGCACTGACTACAATTAGAGAGGTCAACTAATTTGCTTTCCAAATGAGCATGGTAAAATTCAGCAGCATTAAGCACATTCACAATACTGTGCAACCATGACCACTGTCCGTTTCCAGAATTGTTTTATCATCCCAAACGGAAACTCTGTACCATTAAACAATAGTGAGAAGTCTACCCTGCTTGCCTTCCCTGATAACTTCCATTCTATTTCCTGTCTCTATGAATTTGCTATTCTAGGCAGGTCACACAAGTGGAATCTTATAGATTTGTCCTTTTGTGTCTGATTTATTTCTCTTTGTATAATGTTCCCTCGTTTACCCACGTTAGCATGGGTCAGAATTTAAGGGTGAATAATACTCCATTGTGTATGCATACCACAGTTTGTTATTCATTTGTATATTAATGGATATTTTGGCTGTTTTCACCTTTTGGTTATTGTGAATAGTGATGCTATGAACATTGGTATACGAATACCTGTTCAAATCTTTGCTGTAAATTCTTTCCGTAGACACCTAGGAGTGGAAATACTTTGCTTTGTATTGTCTTTGGTAATTCTATTATTTAGTTATTTATAGTTTGTGATAGGATGCCAGAGAGACCCCCATGTTGCAATCCCTTCTGCATTCTCCTACCAGAATTTGGAGCACATACAAGATGCCAAGTGTGTGTTTCAAGCTGCTGGGTTCAGCCAGCAGTTTAACTGTGCAGTTGGAGATGTGAGATCCAGCTACCTTAACCACTACGCCACCTGCTGGCACCTTTTTTTTTTTTTTTTTTTTTTTTTTACATTTTTGCCATGGGGCGTGTGTGCTCACTGGAGACAGACACAGAGAGAGAAAGTGAAATCATCCCCCCAAGGGGGAATGACCAAGCCACAATCCCTTCCCCTCCATTCTCCTCTTGGGATTCTGGACATGCATGCACACATATCCAGCAAGATTTTCAAGCTGCCAGGTCCAGGGCTCCAACCAGGGTTGGCCATGTCAGAGTCCAGTGCCTTAGCCACTATGCCACTTGCTGGCCTTGATAACCCATTTTTAATTTTTTAAGAACTGACACTGTTTTCCACAGCAGCTGCATCTTTTTACAGGCCTATCGGCCATGTTCAAGAGTTCTCATCTTTCCACATCCTCACCAACTCTCCTTATTTATTTATTTTTAATGATAGCCACCTTAATGGGCATGAAGTGATACTTCACTGTGGATTTTATTTGCATTTTTTTAAATTATCAGTGATGTTGGGCATCCTTTATGTACTTGTTGATCATTTGTATATTTTTTCAGAGAAATATCTATTCATGTTCTTTGCCCATTTCTGAAGTAAGTTGTAGGTTTTGTTGTTATCATAGAGTTCTTTCTATTATCTGAATATTGATCCATTATCAGATATTTGAATAAATATATATGTATACACACACACACACACACACACACACATATATATATATATATATATATATATATATATGCATGTATGTATTTAGAGAGAGAGTGATATTTTGCTATAGGAAGCATGTGCTCTTCATAGACAGAGAGAGACTGAGATGGGAGAAGTAAGAAATCTGTCTCTAGGGAAGATGGCCACACTGCAATCCCTTCTCCTCCATTCTCTTCTCTGGATTTTGGGCACAAATGCACATGTACTCGGCCTGAATTTCAAATTGCTGGGTCCAGGCCTCAAACCATGGTTGGTCATGTGGAGGTCCAGCATCTTAACCACTATGCCACCTGCTGGCCCCAATAGCTAGTGTGTGTGTATGTATATATATATATTTTTTTTCTTTCTCCTTTTCTGTTTCAAGTTATTTATACATCATGGCTCTATAATTCGATACTGGCTAAATACAAGGGGTTTTCAAAATCTCTGAATATTTTCTAGATTACTACATGCAAGTGACCATGAAAATACTCGGTTTGAAGCTCTGAGTGGGCACTAACATGAAGGAAAACATTGCCAGTTGTAGATATCCACATTTAAAATAGATGCTCCGACTCATGGCACATGGAGCCTTCCACCAGTGAAGTCGGTTACCTACCGTTTTATCCAAGTGCCACAGTAGTAAAGCAAATTTAGAGAAATGTAATTTGCGTCATTTAGCTGACTCATAAAGTAAGGTTACTGACAAGACCTGTGCTGAAGTGTTTTAAAAAAAACTCTGGTACGAAACCAATGTCTCCTAAGTGAAAGTTTCTGCACAGCAGGCTTCACCTGGCTTCCAACGCTCCACATTCCATGTATCTTAGATGAGACTTCATGCGTATAAATGGGTGACTGCAACCTCTTGTAGAAACTTTGAACAAATGACTTTTGTGTTAAAAACAGTTAAAACGGGGTAAGGTTTAAATAGATTTTGAACTAGCCCAAATTCAAGTTTAATGAAGATCAAATTGTCCGGATCCAGATAACTACATGCTGCCTAGGTCCTCTGAGTCCCCCATCCCCAGATTTTACTCTGAAAAGAGAAGAAATTTATGAAGTCAAAAAATATTTGCATAGGGAACCAGCAGTTAGCATAATGGCTATGTCGCTGGACTCCCACGTAGTCGACCGCGGTTCGCGTCCCGGACCCGGTGGCTTAAAACTCACGCCGGGTGTATATGCGTGCGTATGTGCCCAAGATCCCAAGAGGAGAATGGAGGAGAAGGGATTACAGTGTGACCATCCCCCCTGGGGGGTGATTTCTTGCTTTCTGTCTCTATGTCTCTCTCTGTCTGTATGGCAAGCGCACGTGCCCTATAGCAAAAAACCTCTCAAAAAATTTGCATATAGGTGACAAAAAGATTCCTTAAATCTAAATATATGTATATGTGTGCATATATATTTCAAAATATTTATGAAAATATTTTTACAGTTTTAACAAATCCTAAATGCCAATATAATTAAACTCACACTGCAGATACACAGTGGTACTACTGGGAAGACGTGGCAAATGGTTATTTAATATGAGTGGGGAGAAAAGGGCGTAGTGGCATGCCTCATAATCTCTTGAAGGAAAGAAATCTAATGTTCATACCACAAAGGACTTCAAAGAGAATAAAATCCAGGAAGCCACAGAATCATAGACTCAGAAGCACCTACAATGAAGCGCTCTAAATGTGTTTCTCAGACATATGTAAAGACATAGTTCTCAAAACTACTGAGATGCCATGTTTTAAATATCTATAGGATGTAAGGGCCACTCAGGTTTTCTCATTTTATTTGAACACAAAATAATATTTTGCATGCAGAATAGAGAAAAAGAGGTAATCATTAGCATGAAAAGGGAGAAGAAAAGGATTTATAATTAACATTATGCAGAAAAGCAAAATTATAGATACCAGCCTATTCATATGGAAATCTTTAGTGGTTATACTTTATACTGGTGCATATCTGAGTGCTTATCATTGAAGCATGCAGAAAAAAATAATTGGCAGCTTAAGCAATTTGCAGTGTTTTGAAGAAAGCACTTTTTATTTATTTTAAATAATTGTTTTATATAATTTTATTCATCACCAGTTTTACTTTTAATCTGACTATAGAGCAGCAGAGAGAGAGAGAGAGAAGGAAAGTGAGAAACCAAGCCACCAAGTCCAAGACTCAAACTGTGATTGGCCATATGGGAGTCCAGCGCCTTAACCACTATGCCACCCGCCGGCCCCAAAGAAAACACAAATTAAATGTATGTAAATGAACATTTAGTTATCCCATAAAATAAACACAGCACTGGTAAGATAAAGGAAAACTATTATACACAGAATTTTGGCTTTTTTCTCCCCTACTTGCTGCAACCATTTTTAATCTGCTAAACTGAATCTCAATGGGTACAGGCATTTTTCTCTCTCTTTTTTTTTTTCTTAGTTCTCATTTCAAGCTGTTCAACAGATTCCTGTGCTTCAGGGGATTCAAATCGCTGGTGAAAGTTTGTTCTTTGTTTCCTTAGTTTCCCTGGAGCCTTTCTCCATAAAATGATCTCCTACTGTTTGAAGTACCTTCTGTCTTCCTTGTCAACAAGTAGTAGGTCAAAAAGTACCTTAAGAAAAATCTTTTGTTTACATCTCTCACTGTTGGAGTTGAAGTATATCCTGCTAAAAATAGTCTTATTGGAATTGATTCGCCTTTTACCGGGACACCATCCATTATTTCATAGTTAGCGATTGTTTCTGTTTCTGTTGTGATACTGGGTTCCATTCCTGTGAGCTCTTTCTTGATCACTTGTAACTCCACATATTGAACTGTATATCCTACTAATAAGTACATTTTTCTAACAATCACAGCCTTTAAATAATACTTTGATTTATTATATTCTTATTCTATATGTAGACAATCTTCAGTGTACTTGCATCTTAAGAGAGTGGCTAGCATTAGGTGGCCAGCTGGTGAACAATAAGATCATACTCTTTTACCAAGTCTGTCAGTCTTCCTGCTATCGTCATTTTAAGAAAATACCTCAAGCTGACATTGTCACTAATGTAAGATTCATACAGCTTTTCAACTTGGATACACTGAAAAATCCTAACTTCTGCTCTGAGTCAGTTTCTGGGTAAGGTTAGTTCTTTCACTAGGCTTATAAATTTGTATTACTCTTGTCATTGAAAAGTTCAATTTGACCTACAAATTCAATTCAAATTCTTTGGTATTCTAGCCTCTTTCTGGGTTGCTTAAACGCTAGGTTTATCTTTCCTGAAACAGATTCTCCATCATAGAAGAGAGAATATTTTCTACTTCAGTTTTCATTTCTACCATTTTCTTGGTTTCCCTATCATGAAGGTCTACATTGATCTCACAAATGAGACCAAAAAAGCCTCCAGGAAACTCACAGCCAGCACTGTCCCCCTCACTTCACTCCCCTTCCCTTGCTAGTATTTTTAAACATTTCATAATTTGAAAGATTCTAGTGTGGATCAGCTTATTAACTGTCAGTGGTTGACATGGCCCTCTAGAAAATTTTTTTGTTTCACCTGAAACCGTGACATCTTCTTCATGATTCTCAACTCTTTAACTGAACATCTCTCCATGAGTGGTTCAATACTGTCTGCTTCTATTTGAGTAATTGGTATAGATTGCCAATGATTTACATCATGGATAGTAATTATCTCTGTGCACGGATCACAGTTTTTCTCCTCAGTGAATACCCTAGGTGAACACCTGCTTTCTGCTCTACTTCAACCCTGGCATTGAACTCTTTTTCTTTTGACAGCGACTCAGAAGTATTTTTTGAACAAGGTGCCACGAGAATTGGAGGTACTTATAAAAAGCTAGTTTATCGTGAATACACGGATGCCTCCTTCACAAATAAAAAAAAAAGAGGTCCTGAAGAGGAACATCTTGGCCTCTTGGGTGAGTCCAAGCACACTATATATGTCCAAGCACACACTCTTCCCTTGGGCTACACCCACTCGGAAAGAATAGAATTCAAGACCTGCTGCACAGTTTCTATGTGTAAACTAGGCATGTGGGGAATCAAACATCAATAAAATGCAGCAGCTAATGTCTTTTTTAAATATAAATTACCAATAGTAATTACTCATCATTAAAAGCCATGCTGACTTCAAGGTATTTTTTTTTATTTTTATTTTTTTAGATATAAGGGTAATTGTGTGTTCATGAGACTTGATTTAAATACGTAGCTAAGTTGTTAACCTCTGCTCTAACTAAAGGTGCAATCCCTCACTAGTAAAATCCAGGATACTAATGAGACTACTTGGATCTGTCCTAGAGCCCTCCCTGGGCTGCCCTCAAGCAGAACCCAGAAATGCATTCTCACACAGGTGCTTAGACAAAAAAGCAAAATGGAAGAACAATGCAGATTCAGACTGCCCTTACTTTTCACCATGTGATCTTTGAAAGTTACTCAACGTTCTCTCTCTCCTGTAAAATGAGAACATAAACTTTTTGTAAGCCTTACATTAGTTGATACACATAAATGCTCTGAAATATATAGAGAAATCTCCCAATCTTTATATTTCATAAAATATTTAGGTACTTTATGTTTGCATTCTATGATTGCTAATAATATTAATTTGGGTGATGAAAAATACAAAACAGTGTTATCTTTCACATCTGAGGTGACTTAAGTTGCCTGCTTTGGGTGGTCAAGGTTCATAGCACCCCAATGCTTGGAGAAAATGGTACACACCTAGACAACAGAAGGCTAGAAGGAGAGTACAGGTACTTTGAATAGTTTTTTGCAGGTATATAAAGCTTATTAGCTGACCTGGACAGAAATGATAACCAGTTTCATCCACCTGAAGCTGAATCAAAAAGTCCTTCTCTGCTCTTTCCAACCTTGTCATATCACACTGATCAAGATCTTTTAAAAAACAAGTCCCATTTGGCACAAGTAAGCAGGTTGTTCCCAGTGGTCCTTGCCAGAGAACACAACCAAATAAAGAAATACAAAGATAACTGTCTTAAACATTCTGCTAGTTATATGCCAAAGAAAAATAATTGTCTCTTCGTCCGTAGGTCCGGTCATTTGGGCACAGGTGGGAGACATCATTAGAGTCACCTTCCATAATAAAGGAGACTTTCCCCTTAGCATTGTGCCTACTGGAGTGAGCTTCAATAAGAAAAATGAGGGCACCTACTATGCTTCACGGGACAGTCCTCTGAGTGGAGGTGAGTACAACAGTCTGTAACCAATCAACATCGCTTGATAACCCACTGTACACTTGCAGTGTCCTGCCAAAGTTGAAGATAGGAGCTCCTGAGGACACTGCTCATAGATGACTTGTAGGCATCATGCCAGGAAGCAAATAAACCTCCTCTCTACCATTCCCAGTTGGTTTATGGAATTCTGTCATGCCTAAATTAGTTTAATATAGACAATGTTGATAGTAATTTAGGTTGGGTTGTATCAAGTAAACATTTCCGGAGTACTATTAGGGTAATTTTCAATGTAAAAAAATATTCTCATGGGCCAGCAGGTGGTGTGATGGTTAAGGTACTGGACTACCACATGACTGACCATGGTTCAAGTCCTGGACCTGGTGGCTTAAAAATCACACCGTGTATGTGTATGTGTGCCCCAAATCCCAGGAGGAGAATGAAGAAGGGATTGCAGTGTGGCCATCTCCCTGAGGGGTGATTTCTCACCTTCTCTCTCACTCTCTTTCTCTGTCTCTCTCTGGTAAATGCAAGTTCCCTGTGGCAAAAACACCTTTTAAAAAGTTCTCATAATTGTAAGAAGGCTAATATGCATTGAAAAGTATAGAAGGTGCACTCCAAAATATTAATTTTTTATAATTTTATAGACAACTCCTATTATATTTTATATAATTCTACTTCCATCTGTGTACATATGGTTTACATTTTAAATATGATCAAGATCATAGTATATAAGTATACTTATTATTGTAATTTTATACCCAAAGTTTATTCTCTTAGCATTATAAGCATTTATAAATATAATTTTAATGGTACAGAAATTTTTATCATGTAGATGTATTTGAGTATGTTTAAATATCAAGGCTGACCAATGAAGACTAACTTTGCCACCACTTTTATTGACCATGAGCAGATTATTAGTCTTTTTTGGCCTCGGTTTTCTCGAGTGTAAATTTTGGAGATTTAAACAGGGTCATCTGCAAAGTTCCTTTCAGTTCTAAAGATATTTTCAGTTCATTTTTTTTCAATTGAAAATGCATGGGAAGGCTGGCAGGTGGCATGGTGACTAAGGGTGCTGGACTCCTGCATGGCCAACTGAGGTTCAAGTCCCAGACCTGGCAGCTTGCTTTCTCCCTTTCTCTCTCTTTCTCTCACTTTGTTCCTTTCTGGTCAAATTTTAATTAATTAATTAATTAATTAATTAAATGTAAATAAAATAATTTAAGGAAAAAAAGGAAAGAAAATGCATGGGTAGTCTCTAATGCCGGACATTGTCTTAGTCAATGGAAATACGGAGACAGGAAGGTTAAGTTCCATTTGGGAGAGAAATGTGTCCATCATAACATGCAAGGTGCTAGGATCATCCTTGGGGATGTGAGAGGCACCAATCCCAGACAGAGGTTTGTCTAATATGGGTACACAGGTGGATTCCATTCTTATTCATAATAAAGATCCCAGAAGTGGGTTATCCTAGACTAAACCCAGTTTACTGTATGGTTCATATGGATAACTTAGAAAGTATATTGAAGGCCAGCCTCATAGCTTAGTGTTTAAGGAAGCTGGATCTCCTAGAGGGCTGACTGCAGTTTGAATCCCAACTCTGTAGCTTGAAAAACACACCTGGTCCATGTGTGTGCATGTCCAAAATTCCAACAGGATGGAGAAATGGAAATGGGATTGTGGTACAACCAGGGTCCATTGGAGGGGGCTTTCTTCTTCTCTCTCCCCAATTTTCTACCTCTCTCTGGTGAGCATATGTACTTCTGGCAATTATAAAAAGAAGAAAGCACCCTTAACCTCCTTAGTGTGACCTTTCTTACAGATGTGCCACCTTCGGCCTCCCACGTGGCACCCAAAGAAACATTCACCTATGAATGGACTGTCCCTAAAGAAGTGGGACCCACCTACGCAGATCCTGTGTGCCTCGCTAAGATGTATTATTCTGCTGTGGATCCCACCAAAGATATATTCACGGGGCTTATTGGACCAATGAAAATATGCAAGGAAGGAAGTTTAAATGCAGATGGGAGACAGGTATGTCCAATCAGGGAAGAATAAAAATGACTTGCTGATTTCTTTGAATTATCATTATTATGTGAAAAATTCTGGGGTTTAAGGAAGTGAGGATTCTACATGTCACATTTATTATCATTTTCCCCCAGACTTATAAGGTATGTATTGGATACAGATTCTCTGGCTAACGTGATTATTCCAAAATGAATTGAAAACAACTTTTCGGTGGAATTGGTCTTAGTTATAGTTAGACTTTTTGGAGTTTTTTATTTTTTAGAACAAGGTAGTTTATTCTATAACTGGTTATAGGGAGTCAATCAGCAAGTACATCCAATTGTCTGGAAGAGCTCAGCGTATCCTCGGTATTTACAGGTATCAGATACAAGCATGTGCAAATCATTTCTCACTATGATCAGTCAATTGCTTTTCTCTGAATAATTATCCTGATTCCTTTAAATACCCATTCCTGGTTTCCCGTCTGACTATTTCTCCAGCAGATCTCCCTATGACTCAGCATTTGGTCAGATTGTTCCCTTTAGAAAAAAAGTCCTTTCTTAATTTCAAAATGGCTACAGTCCTACTGGCCTGCTTCAATCCCCACTGTCAAATATACTCATGATCTCTGTCATGGTTGTATTTTAGTATGAAAAAGTTGCAAGGCCTCTCTCCAATCATTTCTGGTCTGATGGAATGATCAGGATATGAGCTTTGGTATATTCTGAACACAGTACAAGAATCCTTTTGAATATCAGGTACACAAATGGTAACATCAATAAGCCAGTAATTAACACTTTATATATTCCTAAAGTATATTTCTTAGTCTATTTGGGAGCCAGGAGAAATAAGTTAAAAAACCAACCAGCAGTCTCCTTTAACAATAGAGTTTTTTTTTTTTTTTTTTTTTTAGGGGGTTTCCGTTTTAGGGGGCTGGGGCTCGTTTTCGCTATAGGGCGCGTGCGCTTGCCAGACAGACAGAGAGAGACAGAGAGACAGAAGCGAGAAATCACCCCTTAGGGGGGGATGGCCACGCCGTAATCCCTACTCCTCCATTCTCCTCTCAGGATCTTGGGCATGCACGCACACGCGCCTGGCGTGAGTTTTAAGCCACCGGGTCCGGGATGCGAACCATGGTCAACTATGTGGGAGTCCAGTGACATAGCCATTACGCTAATTGCTGGTTCCCTAAAGTATGTTGATCTAGAGTGGTGTGAAGCCAAGTTGCCTATTGTCTAATTTTCTCAATACTTGTCTCAACTTGAGCAGTTGTATGACATTAAATAAGAACAATGGATATAGTTAGACTTTAATACACACATTTTTAAAAACATTCATTAATGATAATGAGTCAATTGACATTCACTAATGAAGACATTGCTTAAAATATTTTTTAGAAATGAACAATATTGGGTCAGTCCATGGCCTGGTGGTTAAGGGACTGGATCCCACATGGCTGACAGTGTGGATTGAGACTAGAACCTAGTAGTTTGAAAATCATGCCAGGCTCATGTGTGCTCTTGTACAAAATCCAAACAGGAGGGAGAAATGGAGAAGGGATTACAGCATGACCATTCCCTTTGGGAATATGTTTTCTCTTTTCTCTCTCTTTCTCTCTGTCTCTGTCTGTCTCTGACAAGCACATGCACCATCTGGCAAATTTAAAAAAAGAAAAATAAAGAAGAAATTTAAGAAAATTACCCTTGACCTACAAATAGAAAACCTAACCATTGCTTTTAATTTCTAAAATAAATATTTTGCAATATACCTTTTAAAAGGCTTTTTTAAAAAACATTTCTGTGATGAATGATCATATCTTAAAATAATAATCAGACATACCATAATTACTCCCAAATATCATCCAGTATCCTATCAGTGTTCACATTTCATCAATTGTATTATAATTTTGTGGTTTGAACCATACCCAAATAGTTATACATAGTCCAATGATGATGTTACTTAATATTATTTATTCAGTTTTTCTGTTATGAGTCATTAATCCTATAGAAATTCTCCATGTTATATTTTACTTATTGCATTCCTGTGGTGTTTTTTAACATGTTTTTTTTTTTCTGTCGCTATTTCCCATAAACCATTGGCTAGATCTAAAGACCTTGATTATATTCAGATTTGACTTTTTTTTTTTCCTTGCAAGACTATTTCAAATGTGGTGCTGACTCCCTCTCTCAGGAAGTACATAACATTGTACGTCTTTGTGTCTCAATTGGAATGTTATCAATCACTGCTATTTCCTAGATTCATAAACCAAACATGTGTTGCATAATTGTCATATTCTAATCCCATCCTTCCTTATTAGTTGGAACACTTCTATAAACAGACACTTCCCTTTATGAAGTATTTAGCACCATGAGGTTCATATTGTATGAGAAAGGAGCAACGAGTCCCGATTCTTCCCCTGTATTTACAAGCTTTCAGATTAATAGCACTCTACCATATTTCAAAGCCTCTCAACACCTGTAATTTATTCTTTTAAAAATTATTTTATTGAACTTTATTTTATTTTTTTATTTATTTTGATTTGACCAGGGAGGGGGAGAAAGAGAGAGAGAAAGTGAGAAAGCAAGCCACCAGGTCCAGAATTTGAACTGCGGTTGGCCATGTGGGAGTCCAGCACCCTTAACCACCATACTACCTGCTGGCCCCATGACCTGTAATTTATTTTAAAGTAGCTTTGGGAACTCAGGGATTTAAGCATATGTGGTATCGTTTAATTCATTGCCATTCTCCTTATTGATGTTCCAAGTATCTTTTTGTCCCTGAGGAACTCGTTCTGGCTGATGCCTTAATTTTTACATGAATTTAGAAGTCTCTGAACCTCTTTGCTTTCTAGTATAAAACCATATTTACGGTTCATCTTGCACATTGTCTGAGACAGAACTGGAATCAGCCATTTCTCTCAAGAGAAAAGAGCCAGGTTCTTTTAGCTAAGGAATTATTTTTAGAACCACAATCTGGGCACTAGAGGAGCTCATGACTATTGGCCTACTCATTGTTTCTAGGGCTTTTCTGAGGGTAGAAATGGGAAAAAAATGTCAAGATAACTTTATCCTGATTTCTCATTAATAATTTCTATTCAAATTTGGGCCTACGGATTTGTTGTTATTAACCTTATATACTTGAGTCTACTTCTGGACTTTCCTGTCCCATTGGTCTCTTTGTGTACCAATACTGGTGTTATTACTTAATTTATCATGCTATTTAATTACTAGTACCTGTAGCTCATTGCTCTTCTTCATCATTTTAAAATGTTTTTAGAGTTAGATTTTCCGTAAGTGAAAGAGATAGAGGGAGAGGGAGACCTCCAGCATGGTCCTCATGCCAAAATCCACCCCAGCCTTGGCCAGTCCCGAATCGTGAGCACGTGTGTACCTGGCACACCCAGGCAGGTGTCTGGATGCAAATTGGGAAACCACCATACTCAATGTGGGTCCGCCTTGCATTCTACCACTGCACCATCATCTGGCCCCCTTCTTTATTGTTTTAATAACTATTTTTGCCTAAGTGTTATTCTTAATGAGCTTATAAAAACTCATCTGACTCCAGAAAACGGGCTTGGTAGTGTTATCTTGGGATTGTCTCAAATGTACAAATTAAATTAAGAACAGACATCACCATGGTGAGGTTGAGTCGTCCTGTGCAAATGTCTTTTCATTTGTTCAAGTCCACTTTTGTGTCTCTCAGGAATATTTTATGGTTCCTTTTACATAGGTCTTGAGAATGTTTTGTTAAATTTATGCCTAGATATTTTATTTTCATTTGGCTATTGTAAATGGTAATGCCATTGTTTAAAATGTTTTACTGTGTAACTGAAAAAATGTTTTTTTGTTTGTTTGGGTTTTTTTTTTGTTTTGTTTTGTTTTTAACGTTTTTGCCATAGGGCACATGCACTCCCTGGAGAAAGAGACAGTGAGAGGAAAAGTGAGAAATCAATCCCGGGGGGTGGGGAGGTGGGGAGGATGGCCATGCCTTAATCCCTTCTCCTCCATTCTCCTCCTGGGATTTTGGTCATGTACTCATACATATCTAGTGTGGTTTTCAAGCTGCCTGGTCCAGTGCTTGAACTGTGGTCAGCCATGTGGGAGTCCAGTGCCTTAACCACTATTGGTCCCTGGTTTTCTACCTTTTGATTTCTATTCTTTGTACGTATCTGTTCTTGTACATATCTTGGAAAGGAATAAAAAGAAAGTAACATTTAGTGAATGCCCTCCAGGTATTTTCACACATAAAACTAAATTTAATTTTCACAATAACCCAAGCATTGTTTTCCCCATTTCTGCAGAGAAGGAACTGATGATGTTCAATGAGTTGAAATTTAAGTTTTCTCTTTCTCTTTCTAAAATCATGAGTGTGAGTATATTTTTCATCGTTGAACCTTTTCCTTTGATTTATGGGAGCTTTCTTTAGATCACCTTCATCTTTGATTTAGTTCTCTGGGATCTAATCTTCAGGTCTCTGTGTTAGTTGGACTTTTCTTATTTTGATAATCATGATTTTTATCTGAAAGAATGCTCTCCAGGGAAAGACATGCTAAAGACCTCTCACGTTTTTTTCTCCTTTGGTAGAGTAACTCTGAGAGGCTCTTTTGCTTTGATTCCTTAGATTGGTTGCCTTCTTCTGAATGACCATAGACCAAATAACATTTCTGCTTCCTTATTATTCCTAGGGGCAGGGGTAAAGAGTAAGAATATTTGTCCAGGTGGATGGAGATGTGTGAATCCTGTTCCAATTCATTGGCAGGTTATTTCTTCACTAAACATTGATTCCTCCCTCAGTCTGCTACCACCCCACTCTGATTTAATAGGAATTCAAGTATTCATGACAGTGAATGACATTTTTCCTGCTTTCCAGCACAATCCCTACTTTTAACAATTTCTTTTAGTGGCTTCTGTTGGTACATGCAACGTGGGAGGAAGGCAAAGAGAAGAGACTAAGAACTTTCAGAGGCTCGGATTACCATATTGAATCCCAAATCCACTCACGATGGACACTTCCATCTCATTACTTTGTTTAGCTTATATTTGCTCAAACAGTGTTGTCACATGGAAGTCTTCAGCTCTATTCATTCTGTCTTCATCTCATTGTTCTTGTTTCGATTTACAGAAAGATGTAGACAAGGAGTTCTTTTTGTTTCCCACGGTATTTGATGAGAATGAGAGCTTACTCCTGGATGACAATATTAGAATGTTCACAACTGCACCTGATCAGGTGGACAAGGAAGATGAAGACTTTCAGGAATCTAATAAGATGCACTGTAAGTATATCATTCACCAGTCTATCAAGTTATTTCAATGTTGCATATGTAAATAATTTATTTTTACTTTTTTTAGAGGTTTTTGTTATAGGGTGCATGCACTTGCCAGAAAGACAAAGAGAGACAGAGAGATAGAAAGCGAGAAATCACCCCCCAGGCGGAATAGCCACGCCGCAATCCTTTCTTCTCCATTCTCTTCTCGGGATCTTGGGCACACACGCACATACGCCTGGCGTGAGTTTAAGCCACCAGGTCCAGGACTCGAACTGCGGTCGACGGCATGGGAGTTCAGCAACATGGCCATTATGCTAACTGCTGGTCCCAATGATTTAACTAAGCACAAATGTGAATAGCTTTGCTCACTAATTTTATTTTTTTTAATTTGTCAGAGGCCATGTGTACTCACCAGAGACACCAAGTCATAAAGAGAAAGGAGGAAAGCACCCTCCATGGGGCATTGTCACTACACAATCCCTTCTCCTCCATTTCTCATCCTGCCAGGATGTGGGGCACGCACACACATGCACCTGACGTGTTTTTCAGGCTGCCAGGTCTGAGAGTCCTCTTTGATGAATTTGCAATAAATGATGAGATACAAGAGTGCTCTGAGGATAATACCACTGGTTACTTAATGTATTGGTCAATTATTCATTATCTCACTTAATTCCGAATAATTAGACATGTAAGATATGTCAGTAAGATGACTAGTCCTTAAAGTGTGGTCCTGGATCAGCAGCTCCAGTGTCACCTAAAAACTTGTGAGAAATGCACATTCTAGACCAGCTGGTGGCATGGTAATTAAGACAGCTGGATCTCAAATGGCTGACTGTGCTTTTTGAGTCTCTGTCCCAGTATCTTGAAAAACTTGCAGGTCATGTGTGCATGCATGCCCAAAATCCCAAAAGGAGACGTGGAGGAGAAGGGCGGTGTGGCCATTCCCTATCAGAGGTGCTTTCTCCCTTTCTCCCTGTCTTTTTCTGTCTCTGTCTCTCTCTCTCTGGAGAATGCACATGCCCTCCAGCAAAAATTAAAAAGAATATATAAATATATATATATATATTCCTGGGTCCCAACCCCGATCTACTGAGTTTGGAATAGGTTCTGGCAATCATTGTTGTGTTTGTTTGTTTGTTTTTTTCTTTCTTTTTCTTTTTTTTTTTTTGGCGGTTTTTGCTATAGGGTGTGTGCGCTCACCAGACAGACAGAGAGAGACAGAGAGACAGCGAGAAATCACCCCCCGGGGGGGATGGCCATGCCGCAATCCCTTCTCCTCCATTCTCCTCTTGGGATCTTGGGCACACACGTACGCGCGCCCGGTGTGAATTTAAGCCACCGAGCCTGGGACTCAAACCGCAATCGACTATGTGGGAGTCCAGCGACACAGCCATTACGCCAACTCCTGGTCCCAGAGAGAGACTTTTTTTCTATAGGACACTTTCGCTCTCTGGAGAGAGACAGACAGAGAGACAGAAAGTGAGATATCACTCCCCAGGGGGGATGACCATGCTAAAATCCCTTTCCCTCCATTTTCCTCTTGGGATCTTGGGCACGCACACACATGTGCCCAGTTTGAGGTTTAACATACCAGGTCCAGGACTCGAACTGTGATCAACTCTATGGGAGTCCAGAAATGTAACCATTACACCATCTGTTGGTCCCAACAATCTGTAGTTTACCAAAGGTGATTCCAACTGTGCTTGTCTGAGTGCTAGATTAAATGCTTTTCTCATCTGTGACTCATTAATGACAGACTTACTTTATTATTCAGTCTATCGAAAAATGGGATCTTTTCCTCAATGATTCTTGCCTCTGACTGCTTATTAGAAACACCTGGGAGCTTTAAAAACTACCAATGCTTGGGGGCCAGCAGTTGGCCTAGAGGTTGCATCACTGGACTCCCACATGGTGGACTGTGGTTCAAGTCCCAGACTCAGTGGCTTAAAACTCACACCAGGCACATGTGTGTGTGTGCCCAAGATCCCAGAAGGAGAGTGGAGGAGAAGGAATTGCAGCGCGGCCATCTCCCCTGGGGATGATTTCTCACTTTCTCTCTCACTGTTTCTCTGTCTCTGTCTCTTTTTCTAGTGAGCACACATGTCTTAAAGCAAGAACCTCTTAAAAACAAAACAAAACAAAACATGGGGCCGGCAGGTGACATGGTAGTTAAGGGTGCTAGATTCCCACGTGGCTGACCATGATTCGAGTCCCAGACCTGGTGGCTTGCTTTTAAATTTTCCTTCTCTCTCTCTGTCCCTCTCTGGTTGAATTAAAATAAATAAATAAAGTTAAACAAAGTAAAACAAAAACTACCAATGCTCAGCTCAGCTCTTAGAGAGTTCATTGAAACTGAACATCAGATTTCTTTCTTAGCTCTCAGTTTAATTCTAAAAAAGTAATTAAAGATGTAAAGACAGTGAGCTAATTGTTCAAAAGGCCTGTGCCACTAATGGACAGTAATTATTGTAGCTAATAGAATAAAAAATGTAGATATGTTACAAACTCGTGTTTGTTTGAGCTGGACTAGTTCCAGGTCTTTAAAGTGTTTCTTCTGATTCCACATTTTTTCATTTGAGAACTCTCAAGAGTATCGGCCATTGGAACTAACAATGAGGGCCGGCCTATGACCTAGTGGTAAGGGGACTAGATCCCACATGGCTGATCATGTGGTCTGAATCCCTGCCAGGAGGCTTGAAAAACAGACTAGGCCATACGTGTGCATGTGCCCAAATCCCGACAGGATAACATGGAGAAAGGATGGTGGTGTGATCATGCCCTACTTGGGGGGTGGGGGGATGCTTTCTTCACTCTCGTGCTCTCTCTGTATCTCTGTCTCTCTCTGGCAAGTGATACATCCTCTGACAGATGAATAAACACCTCTCTCTGGCAAGTGCATACATCCTCTGACAGATGAATAAACAGCAGTGAGAGACAACTTCCTGCATGTTATCTTGGTATTCATGGTGAGTCAGAGAATTATTTTTATCTTGAACACAAAACATACACTGATTGTGTTGTGGTTCCCCGGAAAAGCTGTTATGATCCATAGACATGGGTGCGGTGGGAGCCAGGAAGGACAGTGAGATTCTCAGGGTCTGAGGGATGCTGGTGCCGAACCTCAAGGCCATGCGCTCAGCTCTCTGGAGGTGCTCGGGAGAACAAGGAGTGGAGGAGATGATCCTGTCCGACAAAAGGTAGATGGGGCTGAATGAGTCTTTAAAAATTAAAAACACAAAGTTGGCTTTGGGAAGTCCGGGAGCTTGTCATATAGTATGGCAAAAAATAAACCACTTTCAAATTCTTATTTCTCCACTTTTACAGCCATAAATGGATTCATGTATGGGAATCAGCCCGGTCTCAACATGTGCCAAGGAGACTCCGTCGTGTGGTACTTGTTCAGTGCTGGCAACGAGGCCGATGTACACGGGATATACTTCACGGGGAACACCTACCTGTCAAGAGGCGAGAGGAGAGACACAGTGAACCTCTTCCCTCAGACGAGTCGTACACTCCTCATGCAGCCAGACACAAAAGGTCTGTTTCTTTACAGCCAAGGAGAGTCTACTGCATCGATCTGTGCGCTTCTGGTTTACAATCCTGTAGCAGAACATGCTGGGTGATGAAGTCATCCCTTCCCTAAGCCTCCCAACTGCCCTTCCTTCCTTTGAAAGGGCAAGCTGGGGCCACCATCAGCCGAAGTGATCTATACGTCTCATAGGTCCATGTTCTAGTTATTGGGGGGAATGGAGAACGAGAAGAGAGTGGGCTGTGTCCCCTATTCCCACAAGGAATCTTTAAGACAATCGGTCCTCTTTGAGATTACAGTCGCTGGCCTCACCGTAATAGCACAGGTGTAGGGCTTTCGCTGTGCTGGACACCACGTGGAAAGGCTCTGGGTGTGTGCTCCAGGGCTTCCTCCACGTGTCGGGCATGCCCCTGCTCCCGGCTGGCTGCACTGCTGGGGGAAAGGATTGTGACATGAGCATGCCAGCCCCCTCTCACCCCCAGCCAGGAAATAAACTTTTAAAAATGTGTAAAGTATGATCCTTTAAAAAAGAGAGAGAGAGAGAGCTGGAAAATCATACTAGAAGGTAAATGACTTTCATAAAGACTCTGAATATAAACTTTCTTCATGTTCCTGTAGCCTATATGTATCGGCCTGTTGGAAAAGTCATGATGCATTTTTTTGCATTGAAAAAAAGAAAAAATATGTCATGGCTCTTCCAACAACCCAAATAGAATTGGCTTCTTGGTTGCTTGCAACTGAAAATTCTATACTAGAACAATAGGCATGCGAACTGAGATATACCAACAGGCCTGCCTATGGATAAGCAAAACAAACTAAACGTAAAAGAAAGAATTTTAATCAAAATGTGAAAATAGGCTAGCTTGCTTCAGGTTTGACTTGGCTCACTGTGTGCCACCAAAAGTCAAGACAAACCCAGTGTCACGCTTTCCTTCTTTTGTTTGATAAATGTAGCCTTAACAACTAACAACAGTGATAAAGTACTTCATAGAGGAAGACAACAAGCTAGTATATTAACACATGTAGGTCAAGTGGTTACAAATATGTGAAGGAAAATAGGGTACGGGGAGGAAGTGACTGCTGGGGGAGAGGACAAGATTCTCTCACCAGGTGATGATTAAGAAGAGAGACCTGAGGGCCCAGCAGATGGCGTAATGGTTACATTGCTGACCTTCCACATGGTTGATATAGAGGAAGACAACAAGCTAGTATATTAACACATGTAGGTCAAGTGGTTACAAATATGTGAAGGAAAATAGGGTACGGGGAGGAAGTGACTGCTGGGGGAGAGGACAAGATTCTCTCACCAGGTGATGATTAAGAAGAGAGACCTGAGGGCCCAGCAGATGGCGTAATGGTTACATTGCTGGCCTTCCACATGGTTGATCATGGTTCGAATTCTGGATCCAGCAGCTTGAAACTCACACAGGGTGTGGGTGCGTGCATGCCCCAAATCCTGAGAGAAAGGAGGAGAAGGGACTGTGGCATGGCCACTCCCTTGGCAGGGGGTTTTTTGCTTTCTGTCTCTCTGGTGAGTACACCCACCCTAGAGAAAAAAAAAAAAACTCTCAAGAAAATAAAAATAGAAGGAGAGAGTTGAAGAAAGTGAGGCCCACCGTGTGGATATCTGGAGGAGAAGTGTCTCAGGCAAGTGCTAAGGGCCAGGGGCAGGACCTGTTCTAGAGCAGCGAGAGGACTGTGTGGCTGGAGCAGAGTGAGCAGCACATGTGATCAGAAGTGTGGGGAGCCAGGTCATCTAACCAAGGCACTGATGAAGACTCTGGTACTGACTCTGAGCAAGGTGGGGAGCGACAGAGGACACTGAGCAAAGCTGTGACATGTCTTCTTCTTTACCACTCCAGGGACTTTCGATGTTGAGTGCCTCACGACAGATCACTACACAGGCGGCATGAAGCAAAAGTACACTGTGAACCAGTGCAGGGGGCCGTCCGAGCAGTCCACCTACTACCGGGGAGAGAGGACCTACTACATCGCTGCAGTGGAGGTGGAATGGGATTATTCCCCAACCAGGAAGTGGGAAAAGGAGCTGCATCATTTACAAGAAAGAAAGTAATTCTCCAGGCCCTCATTTTCTTTTCTTTTAAAAAATTATTTTATTTAACTTTCTTTATTATTATTATTATTTTCCAGTTTGATCAGAGAGAGACAGAGAAAGAGAGAGAGGGAATGTGAGAAAGAAACCAACAGGTCCAGGACTTGAACCACGGTTAGCCATGTGGGACTCTAGTACCTTTAACCACCACTCCAAATTTTTTAAATTATGCTAAATTTTAGAAAAAAACAATTGCCTTAAATAGTAATAATAGTAACAACAAAAATGTCCAGGAACCTACCCTCGTTCATTACTGCGGCTCTTGATTTTCTCATAGAAAAATTTCTGTTTATCTCATTTGATTCTTTAACCACTTTTCTTGCTTTTCTTCCTATTGTACTGTCTTCTCACCTCCGTATGCCCACAGCTCACTTACTATCGGACTTAGCCAAAAGTGATGCTCACACATGGAGCTGAAATATTTTTTCCTTACCAAGTATTTGCTGCTTAGCTTCTTTCATTATTCGTACAACAGTCCATATTTTACATTCTTCAAACTCTTTTTTAAAGAGTTATTTAATTTTATTAATTATTATTATTATTACTTTAATTTGACCAGAGAGAGAGAGAGATGGAAAGTGAGAAAGTAAGCTGCCAGGTCTGGGACTCGAACTGTGGTCAGCCATGAGAGAGTCCAGTGCCTTAACTACCATGTCACGTGCCAGCCCCTTTTCAAACTTTTATGTGTGAAAGAATATTTTAAATGCCTGCAGGCAGGATCTAGTATGGTCTCTGCCCTCCAAGAACTTACAGGAAAATATGATTCAAAACCACCAATAACATGTGCATTGTGAAAAGGTAGAAAATAAATTCAGTGTGAATGAATGTAAGTGAAGGATGGTCATTGGAGCTTCAGAAAACATTAACATAACAACACTTGGTGGGTCTATTGAGTCATTGGAGAAGTCATTTTTGCATAGAAAATTATGTCATGACTTTTCCGACAACTCAATAGTTAGCCTTTTATACATTCCCAACTCTTTCCTGTCTATCACCCCACACCACGCACTGACCCTGTGCAGATACAATCCAAAGGATTGGATGGGAAGTCTTCAAAGCCAGGTGTATAGCACGTTCCCTACAAAAGATTTTCCCTCTTATCACTGCTAAGGATATTATTATTTAGGGCTGGAATCTGGCCATATATTCCAGAGTAAGAGGTTGCTTTTAAAACTCATCTGGGGTTGTTTTTGTGTTTTTAAAAAAACTTTGATTATGCTAGTAGTTTACGAATCTGATCTTTCGCTCCAGTGGTTTGCTGTGTGACATTAGGACACTCCCATGGGGTACGAGTTTCGTATAGGGAATGTCAGATGTAGTCACTGTGCTTACCTGCTTTCACTTAGAGCTGACTTGTGTGCCCTTGTAATTCTCTGTCCTGTTTACCATTTACACACTTCACACGTCATCGTGATTTCTTTTGCAAGGGAGAACTGAATGAAATTCCCTGAAGGGCCTGACTCTTCAGCAGCCTGCCTCTGCAGGGATAGTGGTTTCTACTTCCTTCTTGGAACTGAGGTTATTGCTTTTCTCTCTTGCCCGCAGAACCCCGATCCTGCAGCAGAATCTACTGAAACATTTATTTGGAAGAATGCTAATTCTGTACATATTTTGTTCCCTAGCTCCCACCTCTATTTTTAAAAAAATTCTCTTAAAGAATTTTTTAAATTTAACTTTATCTTACTTTAATTTGACCAGAGAGAGAGAGAGATGGAAAGTGAGAAAGTAAGCTGCCAGGTCTGGGACTCGAACTGTGGTCAGCCATGAGAGAGTCCAGTGCCTTAACTACCATGTCACGTGCCAGCCCCTTTTCAAACTTTTATGTGTGAAAGAATATTTTAAATGCCTGCAGGCAGGATCTAGTATGGTCTCTGCCCTCCAAGAACTTACAGGAAAATATGATTCAAAACCACCAATAACATGTGCATTGTGAAAAGGTAGAAAATAAATTCAGTGTGAATGAATGTAAGTGAAGGATGGTCATTGGAGCTTCAGAAAACATTAACATAACAACACTTGGTGGGTCTATTGAGTCATTGGAGAAGTCATTTTTGCATAGAAAATTATGTCATGACTTTTCCGACAACTCAATAGTTAGCCTTTTATACATTCCCAACTCTTTCCTGTCTATCACCCCACACCACGCACTGACCCTGTGCAGATACAATCCAAAGGATTGGATGGGAAGTCTTCAAAGCCAGGTGTATAGCACGACTGGAACCAGTGGCGGGGCAGTCATTAGCTGTTAGTTTGACCGCAACAGTGGATCTGGTTTGCAGTGTAAAGGAGTAATCGGTTGGGACCAGCAGATGACATAATGGTTACGTCACTGGACACCCACAAAGTCGACCTCAGTTCAAGTCCTGGACCTGGTGGCTTAAAATTCATGCCAGGAGCATGTGCGTGCATTTGTGCCTGCCCAAATTCCTGAGAGGAGAATGGAGGAGAAGGGATTGTGACATGGCCAGCCCCCTCATAGGGCAATTTCTCACTTTCTGTCTCTCTATCTCTCCTCCTCTCTTTCTCTCTAGAGAGTACACACGCACCCTATAGGAAAAATCTCTAAAAAAAAAAAAATGGGGGGGAGTAAAAAAGGAGTAAAAGATTATTTCAGTAATTGGAGCAAAATGGTTACAAAGCTATAAAAGTCATTAGTAGTCAATGAAAACTTTAGGAAAAGGGAATGACTGGGGAAAAAAATGTGACCATTTCAGTTCCCATGGGCTGGAAATACAGCATAACTGGAGAACACTTTACCAGTAAAATCAGGGCTCTGAAAATGTTAGTGCTATCAAGAACCCTTAGAGGTGATCTGACCAAATACTTTGTTTTAGGGGTCAGGAAACTGAGACGCCAACAGGCAATGAGCAGCTAGAGGTCACCTCACCTTGTGACAGAGCAAGCCAATACCCAGCTGGCTCCACCTGGAAGGCTGGGTGTGCTTCTAGCACACCTGTTTTAAAAGCCTTATACTCTTACTGGAGCTGGGAGAGTGATGATTAAAACTATCATTAATTACTTCGATAACTATTTTTTTTTGAGAGAGAGATTTTCGCTATAGGGCGCGTGTGCTCGCCAGACAGACAGAGAGAGAGACAGAGAGACAGAAAGCGAGAAATCACCCCTCAGAGGGGATGGTCACACCGCAATCCCTTCTCCTCCATTCTCCTCTCGGGATCTTGGGCACGCATGCACACGCGCCTGGTGTGAGTTTAAGCCACCGGGTCTGGGACGCGAACCACAGTCGACTACGTGGGAGTCCAGCGACATAGCCATTACGCTAACTGCTGGTTCCCGATAACTATTTTTATTCAAACTTTTATATGTAAAATGTCCACTTTGATGACAAATACTAACCTGAGTTTGTTCTTTTTAAAGTGTTTCGAATGTATTTTTAGATAAGGAAGAGTTTTACATAGGCTCAAAGTATAAGAAAGTTGTGTATCGGCAATACACCGACGGCACGTTCAGAGTGCCAGTGGAGAGAAGAGCCGAAGAAGAACATCTGGGGATTCTGGGTACGTGAACAGCTGAATACATGGGGGTGGGTTACTGATAGAGGCTATGCTGGAACAGTCCATCCGTGTCTATGGATTTCATTTTCATGGTTCATGTATCAAACTTATTCCAATAAAATAGAAAATCAGTCATTGAAGCTGGCCATGTAGCCTAGGGGTTAAGGGAGCCATAAGTCACATGACCCATCACAGTTCCATTCCTGGCCTGATGGCTTGATAAATAAACTGGGCAAGTGAGTATGAGAGCCTAAAATCCTGCCGGTATGGAGAAATGGAAGACAAGAGGATTTGGGGGATATTTTCTCCCTCTCTCTTAGTCTCTTGTTCTCTGTCTCTCTCAGAAAACATGCACATCTTCTGGCAATGAAAAAAAATCTGTTACTCAATACAGATGAGAAGCCTAAAGAATACAGACAATAAAATACTACTTATTTCTTTCTACCAGAAGCAATGTATTATCCCATATACTGATGAAATTGCATATATTTGGGGTTTATAAAATTGATACTTTTAGTCCTGGTGAAGTTTCTAGAAACTACTTTCTAATAAAACTCATAACGAAAATTCTTCCTGATATTCTACCCTATGAAAAGCAAAAATGCTTCCCACAAAACACCCATAGTTATTTGGTTTTAAAATGAAGATTTAAGTGATTAATTATGAGAAGACAACAAAATAAGAAAATGAAAAGTGTGAGGGTGCACAGGTAGGGGAAAGTTGCCTTCAGTTTTTCTTTTTCTTTCTTTCTTTCTTTCCTTTTTTTCTTTTTTTGTCACAGGGTATGTGCACTTGTCAGAGAGAGGGAGAGTGAGAAATCCCCTCCTATGGGAGCTGGCCATGCCACAATCACTTCTCCACCCTCTTCTCAGGGTTTCCAGCACACACACACATGCACTGGCATAATTTTCAAGCCGCTGAGTCCAGGATTTAAACCACGGTCAGCCACATAGAAGTCCAGTGCCTTAACCACCACATCACCTTCAATTTTTCAAGACTTCCTTTAAGACAAAATGTCTGAGAACTCAACCAACACTGGTCTGAGGAAATGTCCTGCAGGGGGCATCCTTCCCCTTAACCCCACTGGCTCTTTGCTCTCCTGGGACTTGCTTATCCTCAGCTTCTATAGCAAGACACCCAAGGGAAAATGATATTGTCGGGTCACAGAAATTCTACTAGGGAGTGGCCAAGGTGAGAACAGTTACAGAGCAGAAATGAGGGGTAGCCCCACCCTGTCAAATGATTCTAATTCATTCTCTGGACTTGCAAATGATGATAAATGATAGCAAGCACTACACAGTGACTCCCAGCCATGGGCCCAATTCACTATGATGAGACCATTGTCCTGTAGGGGACTTCCAGACCTGAATTCATCCTAATACTTTCTTTCTTTCTTTTTCTTCTAGAATTACTTATTTAATTTTATTTATTTTTATTATTATTTTAAAATCTGTTACAGGGCCTGTGCACTCACCAGAGGGAGTTGGGGGTGGGATGGGGGAGAATGAGAAACCAATTCGCCAGGTCCAGGATTCTAATCATGGTTGGCCATGTGGAGTCCAGCTCCTTAACCACTATGACACCTGCTGGCCCGCTCAGTACTACTGATAAGAGGTGCACTGTGGTCTCCATTTTTATGGATGGTCATTTCTTGCATTTTTATCCCAACTCTTCTGGGAACAATATACATTCAAGAGTATGGAGCACAGAGCGACAGGGGGGGGAAGAAAAACATAGACATTACATTGATAGTTCCTTGACCTTTGCTTTATTACTAAGTTAGAGCTTTTAATCTGACAAGTAAATAGGCCACTCTTTCTTTTCACTCTTCCCAGGTCCACAACTTCATGCAGATGTTGGAGACAAAGTTAAAATTATCTTTAAAAACATGGCCACAAGGGAGTATTCAATACACGCCCATGGGGTGAAAACGGAGAGTTCTGAAGTTACTCCGACACTACCAGGTACTCACCATGGTGTGTGTGTGTGTGTGTGTGTGTGTGTGTGTGTATTTTAAGACTTTTCAACCTCTACACGCACGACTACTATCATAGAGGTATTCCTTCCCAATGGATGTGACTTGATGGCGTGAAGGAGGAGGTGGTTGTTAAAGAGGGGATGTGTACATGCATGTGCTCATACCAAAATCATTCCATAGGAGAGTTGTAAGAAAAAAAGCCTGACAGCACTGAACAACTACCGATACTCGAGAGAGTCGGGACTGCTCTCTCCACACTCAGGGAGTACCCACCCCAGATTCCACTCACCTCCCTCATGTGGCTGTTTTCATGCCATCCCACATGACGGAAGTCCTTAAGGACCACCTGAAATTTTAAACCCCCATATCTAGTCCAATATCTGGCACATCACAGGAGCTCAACAAATGCTTCTTTAATACAAGGTAAAAGCTGACATGGATTACATGCATAGGTGTGTGTTTTCTTTAGGAATAGCTGTATGGCCAGCCCATAACCTGGTGAATAAGTGGTTGGATCCACATGGCTGATTGCCTGATTTGAATCCTAGACCTGGAGGCTTGAGAAACTTGCTGGGCACATGTGTGTGCACGCCCAAAATCCCAAAAGGAGAAATGGAGAAGAGATTGCAGCATGTCCATTCCCCATGGGGGTGGAGGTGCTTTCTCATTTTCTCACTTTCTCTTCCTCTCCACCACAGAATGAGCACAAGCTCCAGTGGCAAAACAAAAACAAAAACATGCTGAATTTTTCCTTCTTTCTTTCTTTTTTCTTTTTTGGAGAGGTTGTTGCTACAGGGCATGTACGCTCGCCAGAAAGACAAAGACAGAGAGACAGAAAGCAAGAAATCACCCTTCCGGGGGGATGGCCATGCAGAGAAAGAAAGCAAGAAATCACCCTCCGGGGGGATGGCCATGCTGCAATTCCTTCTCTTCCATTCTCCTCTCGGGATTTTGGGCACACACACACGCACCTGGCGTGAATTTAAACCACCGGGTCTGGGACTCGAACCACGGTCACGATATAGCTATTATGCCAACTTCTGGTCCCCATGCTGTATTTTTCTTCCATCAGTTGTAAACTTAACTTCTAGGGGAAAATACTATTTCTTAATAACTTAGCAGTTCCTAAAAATATCAAATGAAAAAAAAATTGCTCATATAGAATTGTTCTTGTGAATTTAAGGAAATAAAAACAAAAACAAAAATCTCTGCCTTTATGGCCCTCCCCTTCTTATGAGGAAGATAAACAAATATACACATAACGTCAAATGTTGAAAAATGCTACAAAGAGGAGATCAAGAGGGTTTCTTGGAGGAGGTGATACTGGTAATGACACCTAAATGATGAGAGATATAATAAAGCTCAGGCTATTGTGTGGAAAGAAATTCTAGGCCCCCCAAAAGGAGGTGAGCTTGGTGTATCTGAGGAACAGCCCAGAGGTTAGCACAGAAGTCAAGGAGGTGAGTGCCCTGGAGAACGAGACCTGAGTAGAGTAGAGAGAACTTCAAAGATCACAATAAAAACTCATCTGAGGAGCTGACAGGCGGCGTGGTGGATAAAGGTGGATTACCCATGTGGCCGACCACGGTTCAAGTCCTGGACCTGGTGGCTTGCTTCCTCACTTTCCCTTTCTCTCTCTCTCTCTCTCTCTGTCTCTTTCTGGCCAAGTTTAAAAAAATAATATTAACAAATGGAATTAAATAAATAAATAAATATTCTTTTTAAAAAATAAAAAAAAAATCTCATCAGAGAGTTTGAGCTCCGAAGTGCTGAGCTCACTCTTTAAGGAGCTCTTCTGGCTGATGTGTGGGGAGAGACTGCAGAGGAGGCAAGGGCAGAGTCAGGGCCAGTTAGGGAACGCTCACAATAATCTGGCTAGAAAGAAAACATGCTGAGATTTAGAATACGGTGGAAGCAAAGTGGAGAAGTTACCGTGTTCTGGTTCTGTTTCATGGTGGTGCTAACATGACCTGCTGAAAAGTGGATATAAACGTGTTAGGGAAGAGTCAGGGAGGACTCGGGCTTTGGGCACCCACTGGAGGGAGCGCAGGTCGGGAAGGGCAGTGCAGAAGGGAAGGAAACGCTGCTTTGCAGCTTAGGAGGGTAAGCAGAGATGTAGGGACACTAATATGTTCGGGTGGCAAGTCCATACTTTATATTCTCAGGGACAGTTGCTGCTCAGAAAAGGGGTAAAGAGGGACCAGCAAATGGCATAGTGGTTATGTCACTGGACTCCCACATGGCTGACCACTGTTTGAGTCCTGGACCCAGAGGCTTGAAACTCACGCTGGGCACATGTGCATGTGTGCCCGAAATTTCAAGAGGAGAATGAATGAGAAGGATTGTGGCCTGGCTTTCTGTCTCTCTGTCTGTCTCTCTCTCTGTCTCTCTGGTGAGTGTACATGCCCTATAGCAAAAATTAAAAAAAATAAAAATAAATAAAAATAAAAATAAAAGAAGGAAAGAAAAGGAGCAAGGCCATAGGAACAGGTAAGACTGAGGCCTTGAGGAAAACGGTAAACATCTACCACATCCCTTGAGACCTTTCTCACATCTTGCTGATTCTTGAGTAAAGGTGTGTCAGACACGGGCAAATTAAAAGTCTGACACCATAGAAGCCAGCAGGTGGCATGGAGGATCCCATTGTGGCAGCTGGATCCCATGTGGCTGATTCCATGATTCAAGTCCCAGGCTTGGTGGCTTGAAAGTCACTCCAGGCGTGTGTGCACACATGCCCAAAATTGGGAAAAAATGGAGAAAGGACTGCTGTGTGGCTATCTCCCCCTTGGGGGAGAGGTTTCTCACTTTCTTTCTCTCTCTCTCTCTCTCTGACAAACACACACCCTATAGCAAAACTAAAAAAAAAGAAAGAAAGAAAAAAGTCTGACAGGATGAGTATGGAATGGCTAGGTCTACATAAGTGAAGTGGATGTGAGTGTGGACAAGATTGCTGAGTGGACATGTCTCAAAGTCGGGTTATATGTGGGGTTGTTCAGGAAGGCTGAGGTGACTGGGGACAGTTCAGACTGGAGAAGGACCCAGAGCATATGGGATAAGGGTAAGAGCCTTGGCAAGGCAGGAGGGTAGGGCAACTGGCCGTCCTCACAGTGTCAAAGTCCATGCTGTGGTTATGTCCTGTATGAGACAGAGTGGTGACAGAATGGGATGGAGTAGAGAGGGGGTAAATAAGAGTCGGTGGCTCCTGAGATTAAGTGTTCTAGCAGTCCCATGCCAGGAATCATGACTTTACTGAGGACAATGGGGAGAAAACAGGAGAGAAGAAAGACCAAGATGAAGCTGTGGGAGTGACACAGGGCAGTCCAGACGCATGGACACAGAGGACTGTGGGGAAGGCGCCTGCCACTGGGGAAGAGCATGTGGAATTTGAAGAGGAATTTGTATATTAGGAAAACATACTTGACCCTAAGATTGGTTGCAAAATGTCTTCATATTGTGATACTGGAATTACTATCTATTTCTCAGCTTTGTGGTATGACAAGTGCATCCCAGAAAGTTAATTAATAATTGACCAAAAAAAGAAAAAACATGTATGTTCTAGTTTGTCTTAAAAACAATTTTTGGGGGACCAGCAGTTAGCGTAATGGCTATGTCACTGGACTCCCATGTAGTCAACAGCGGTTTGAGTCCTGGACCCGGTGGCTTAAACTCATGCCGGAACGTCTCCAAAAAATAAATAAATAAAAAGTATTTATATTAATGATAAATTATAAATTTATTTATATTAAATATAAATTATTTATATTAAATATAAATCAAATGCTATTTATATTAAATATAAATTATATTTTAATATATACATTTTATTTCTCAACCTTCACTCCATCAAGTTCATAAGTGATGATGCATCCCTAAAGAACTGACAGTCTTAGAAATTTGATCATGTCAATGCAGTCTTTTTCATGTTATTAACTGAAGAAAAACGCAGTGACTCAATGATTTCATTTAAATTAGGAAACAAAAAGAAGTCAGGAGACAAATCAGAACTGTAAGGTGGATGGCTAATGACTCCCCCTCAGAACTCTCACAAAATTGCCCTTGTTCGATGAGTGGAATGAGCAGGAACATTCTTGCAGTAGAGAAGCACTCTGATGAAGCATTCTTTGTTTTTCTGACAAGAGATTTAGCTAAATTTATCAAAACAGTCTCTTAATAAGCAGATGTTATGGTTCTTTGGTGCTCTGGAAAGTCAACACTCAAATGCCTCCAGAATCCCAAAAAACTGTTGCCTGACCTTTGTTCTTGGTTGATCTGTTTTTGCTTTGACGGCCACGCATTGCTCTGATTGTGCTTTGTCTTCAGGATTGTACTGGTAAAGCCACGTGTCACCTCCTGTTAGGATCCTTTGCAGAAGTGCTTCCAGGATGATCCCTATAGTTTAGAAGAACTTACATTGCTGTGATAGGAGCTCTTTTCAAACGAAAGTCTTATCCATCTTACTGCTTCAAACTAGATCCCAATTAGACATGCTATAACAAATTAGTATGAGTTGATTTTGTTGCAAACATTTTTTTTTGAAATCCATATGCATAGTTTTTTCAAAATGTACATTTTCCATGAACTTTTTAAAGACCCAATATATGTCAAGTATAACCAATATATATATGTCAGGTATACCCTGTATATGTCAAGTATAACCAATATAACCAAATATATTAACATTTGATTCATTTAGGTGAAACTCACACTTATATATGGGAAATCCCAGAAAGATCTGGAGCTGGAATAGAGGACTCAGCTTGCATTCCATGGGCTTATTATTCAACTGTGGACCGAGTCAAGGTAAATTTGAAATTGTTTTGTGATAATTCCCAAAGCAGACACACAAATGAAAGGAGATGAGGTTAGAGTTTTTCTGCGGTCCAATTCTATGATAAAATTCTGAGAAATTCTAAGAAAGTAAACTGCTCTGCTCTGCAGTTCACTTGTTTGATTTGTTTGTTTGTCTTTGGCTTGCTTGTTTTTAATGATACATTTCCAACTACTCTGTTATTGCTGACTACACATAACACAAAAATTAAATAGCAATCAATATAATATTTTATTTCTCTTTTGATGGGAAAATATATTAAACGCAAAGAACTGAAATACGTGGTTTCAAAGCATTATTATTCCATAAAATAAAAAAAGCTGATCTCAGCAGTCAATTATAGCACAACTAAATATGTTTAGTGAAATATTTCAAAGCAAATAAAAGACTTAATAACCATCACAAATTAGAAGCTATACCAAGACTGTTCTGTAGAACTCAATCTCTGGTCCAAATCTCTCTACCGAGTTCCCATTCTATCCATACACTTGCGTACTGGAGAGCTCCAACAGTTCCCACAGAAGTTTGAAGCTCAGCAACTCTAAATCTATGTAGGGATCTTCCTCTACCGCCTGTATTTCCTGTTGTAATAAGTAGCACCACAAGTACCAAATCTACTAACTTGTTTAAGCCAGAACTCTGAATTATCAAGCCATCTTCCCCTCGCTCACCGAAGCAATTCTCTCACCTACCTCAAGCCACTCCTTTGCAACCTTATAGTTAGGGTTCTTGGAATTTGTCTCAACTACTGCAATGGCCTCCCAGTCTCCAATGTCTTCCCTCTCCATGTCTTCTTTAACTCTAACAAGATGACTAGTCAAAGATGCAAAGATAGTGCAATTCTGTAATTTTTCAGTGGCTACCTATGACACACAAGAATAATCTAAAAATTCTCTGATAGATTACAGCCCAAAGTCCTTCAAGACCGAATCTACCATTACTGATACCCAAAGTAAACTCATAGTCAATTGTGATCTTTCCTTTAGGCTCATTAGCACTCAACATACCTCCATTGTAACTGACAATTTCCTTATTTCCATTTCTTCTTCATCCTCCTCCTATTTCTTCTAGTCACTTATTTTCCACTCTAGACTGAGTTACAAGAAAGCAAAAGCTTAGTTTCACCCATCTCTGGATTTTTAGTGAGTTGTGTAGTATTGGCTCACGTGTTTATGGAAGAAACAACCCAACGCTGCTCATGTAAGGCTCATTTAATTGCTGCTTACTAGCTGTATCAACTTTCGCCTCTGCACACGTCTTTGTTATCCCAACATCATCTATTGTCTAAGACTTACCTACAACTTAGGGTTATTCGAATTTAACTACATTAAGTGAAAAGTTACTGAATTGGCACATTGGGCAAAATCTACTACTTAGATCAGCCTCTCAAGTATTCCTGAGGTCATAGGTGAAAGGTCTCAATTCCCTGAAATACTGATCAATAACACAAGGATGACTGAAATGTTTTGCTTTTCAGGATCTCTACAGTGGATTAATTGGGCCACTGATTGTCTGTCGGAAACATTACATGAAAATATACAATCCCATAAAGAAACAGGAATTTTCCCTTCTGTTTCTAGTTTTTGATGAAAATGAATCTTGGTACTTAGATGACAACATCAAAACATACTCTGATCACCCTGAAAAAGTAAACAAGGACAATGAAGAATTCATAGAAAGCAATAAAATGCATGGTATGATAAATTTATGATTCTAAAAGCATGTTCCTTTTTACGTATTGTCTTTCAAATAAAATTAGAGACTATTCATTTGTTTCATTTAAAAATAATTCTGCCTTACTTTGTCTGTGAGATAAAATTCTGTTCAACACAAAGAAAAAAAGGAAATATGTACAAAATCACTTACTCATTTCTCTCCCAGTTCCAAGATCTTATTCCCTTTTAATTAATCCACCATTAGTATTAAGGCTCTTGGTGCAAATTGACTAGAAAAACAATGTGTGACATTGCTGACCTTAAAGCACCCATTTTTCTCCATATGTGGTGCAGTAATAATGCATCCTTTTACATAAAAATCTTTACATTAGTAATTATATTTTCTGTGAAACAGCTATTTATTGACTTAAAGTATTCTGAAAGGTAATTTAAAAAATCTTGCATTTCCCCAGCTATTAATGGAAGAATGTTTGGAAACCTACAAGGCCTCACGATGCATGTGGGAGATGAGGTCAACTGGTATCTGATGGGAATGGGCAATGAAATAGACTTGCACACTGTACATTTTCATGGCCACAGCTTCCGGTACAAGGTAAGAGCCATCCATGGCAGTCGTTCTTGCTTTATTTGAAAATGTTTTAATGGAAGGAAAGAAAATATTTTCTCAGAGAGATTTATGAAAAAAATGAAAGTTTCAACAGACAGGAAAATTTCAATTGCAATACCACCCTTTGTGACACCTTGGGCTCTTGTTTTTGCACTTTTAACTGTTTTGTGTGTGTGTGTGTGTGTGATAGTTGGCTCACATTTCCTGCATAAAGCACTTAAGTGAAATTGTTAGCAGAGAGGAACAGGAGCGTTCCAGATGGATCAGAGAGGAGAAACCAGTACAAGACCTTATTCTAACCCTTGCCTGTTCCAAGCTCTGTATTTTGAATGGCCTGAGATGAGCAAGCGAATCAGTTAGATGCCAAGCTACTTGACTGGTCCCTAGATCTCCATCCTACTTCCATTCCTCACCCAGTCCTGATTTCAGCAGACGCCAACAGCCTTTCTGGACATGTCTTTTTTCACCTTTGAGTTAATGTAGAAAATGCTAATCTACAAAAAGCGCATTGCAGAAAGTCCATTTTATCTGCTTTTCATTTTACACAGATGTAGATTCTTAGTGGACTGGCAGTTCTTTCCCTGAAGAAACGTACCCAACTACTGTCTAGAGACTCTGCTTGAAATGCCCCCAGTTTGGGTTTCTTCCTCAGCCTCCTTTTTGTGCTCTCTTTATTGACCTCCTTGCCATGGTACTAGCAGATGGCATAATGGTTGTTATACTGCTGGACTTCTACGTAGTCAACCCCGGTTTGAATCCCAGATCTGGTGGCTTAAAACACACACCAGTCACATGTGTGTGCATACATGCCCAAAATTCTGAGAGGAGAATGGAGAAAGGATTGCAGTATGGCCATCCCCTCTGGCAGGTGATTTCTTGCTTTCTGTCTGTCTCTGTCTCTCTAGTGGGTGCACACGCCCTATCCAAAAATATCTCTCTCAAAAAAAAATTAACCTCCTTGCCCTGAAGTTTCACAGACAAGCTAATTTAGGGTAAGTTCAGGCACAAGTGAGGTCAGAGCTGAGATGTAAGTTCCCTTGTGCAGCTCAAATGTTCTGACAGAGGCCAATCAGTCAGGGTAGAAGAGGTCCCTGGGTGGTCTTGAGTAGTGAAGTCACTGTCATCACTTCTTTCCCTCACACCCAATCGATGGCCATAGTGCCAAGGGCTTAGGGGGAAAACTAGGCCCACATATCTCACTGTCTGTACTGAACACAGAACGTGCAGAGACTCATTTCTTTTTAAAATATATTTATTCAGTTTCCTAATATTCCTGTGCGGTTCAATTTAAGATCATTTGAGGGAGCACTCACATATAATAGTATATAATATTCGTCATTTTTCTAATTAAGCACAGGGGCATTTATAGTTCTGACGTCTTTGAAATATTCCCTGGGACATACCAAACCCTAGAAATGTTTCCAAGAACACCTGGAATCTGGTTACTCCACTGTCACGTGACTGATCACATTCATGCTGGGATGGAAACAACTTACACCGTTCTGCCAAACGAAGGTAAATATCCAATCGGTAATCTAGAAGGCACGTCTCCTGAACATAATCATGATGAACCACTTTGCTTCCACAGTTCCCCCAGCATTTGGGGATTTGCTGCCCTGATTTCTTCCTCTCTACCTCTACATAGGAACTTTTACTGCTAAATAGTGCGGGTACTACTCATTTCCTGAGAGCTGGTACTTAGAAGAGTACCAGTAATCTCAAGTGAATACAAATTGACACCATTGTGATGTAGTGTATTTACAGCTGGTATACGGGGGAGCGGTCATGTCGTCACTTACCCAGAGAGAAACCATGACTAACAAAAGACATATTAGCAGAAAACCAGCAGTTAGCATAATGACTATGTCGCTGGGCTCCCATGTAGTCGACCGTGGTTCACGTTCTGGACCCGGTGGCTTAAAACTCATGCCGGGTGCGTGTGCGTGCGTGCGTGCCCAAGATCCCGAGAGGAGAATGGAGGAGAAGGGATTGCGGCATGGCTATCCCCCCCGGGGGGTGATTTCTCGCTTTCTGTCTGTCTCTCTCTCTATCTGGCGAGCACACGCGCCCTATGGCTAAAACCTCTCCCTCCACCCTCCCCCCCCAAAAAAAAAAAACTTCCATTCAAGTCCTTCTCATTACAAAGAATAGATACTAGTAATACCAGAACACCAAAATTCGAACAGGCAAATAAACTACCGGGTTTAATACCAGTCACCTGAGCAAGGTGAAAAACACCAAAGATGAAGAGGAAGAAAACTTTCAGTGTTTAAAGAACATAAGCTTGTATATAGCCCTCACAAAAGAATGATCCTGCTTGGAAAAGTCACGGAGAGTGAGGGACCCCTGAGGCATTGGGGGAACTCCTTTGTACAGATGCCCGATGGAGAAGATGCCACGACAGACCAATCCTAAGGCAGACAATGAAAACTTTCACTCAGAGTAACAAGCATGGCGGGGCAGGGAGGTGACTGGCTAGTTAGCAAAGGAGAGACCGCAGGGAAATCATAGAACAGCAAACGTGAAGGAGAAACACACATGGGGAAAAGGTTCGAGTTGGACAGTTACAAAGAGAAAAGGTATATATGGAGCGGAAATAAGCAGTAATGAATGCAAGATAGTTTGAGGGGCCAGACAGGGCACAGTGGAAAACACGACACCCTGCAAGGCAGTCCCACACGTAGCCTCCCAGTCCAAGTCCAGAGAGCCTCCCCGAGAACACCCAGCATGTGTACCCATAATGGGGCTGTCTGACAGCTGGGGGTGGACTGCAGCTTCATGACCTGTTGTGGGTGCTGTCTCTCACTCTCTCACTCAGGAAGAAAAAAATGAATACATTAAACACACACACACACACACACACACAGAATTTCTGAAAAAAATTATATATAAACACAATGATCGAAATCAGGAAATAAAGGCCAGCAGATGGCATAGTGGTTATGTCACTGGACTTCCACATGGCCAACTGCAGTTTGAGTCCCAGGCCTGTGTTCTGAGGCACATGAGTGCCCAAGATCTCAGGAGGAGAAAGGAGAAGCGACTCTGGTGTGACCATCCCCTTTGGGGGATGATTTCTCACTTTCCCTCTCGCTGTCTCGTCTCTCTCTTGGATGAGTGCATGTGCCTTAAGGGAAGAACATCTTTAAAAAAAATCAGAAAATAATGATTAAACACTGCATATCTGGGCCAGCTCTGTGGTGCAGTGGTAACGTGCTGTTGAAGAGAGGCGGGATCCCACGTGGTGGCTGAATTTCCAGCCCAGTCAGCGTGGATACACAACCGGCACCTGCAGGAGTGCCCAAGATGCAGTGGGCTGGAGGACAGGACAGGATTTGACCCTGTGAGGAGCACAATGCAGTGGGCTGGAGGACAGGACAGGATTTGGTGTGACCCTGTGAGGAGCACGCCCCTCTCTCATGCGCACATGCCCTATCAGGAGTAAAGAAAAAAATCTTTCAAAAAAACTACAGGTCTTTTTTCAAGTTTCACCAATTACCCTAATCATGTTCTTTATACTGGGTCATTGGAAAAGTCATGATGTAGGGACAAACAGATGGCATAATGGTTACGTCACTGGACTCCCACGTAGTCGACTGTGGTTCAAGTCTCGGATCTGGCAGCTTGAAACTCATGCCAGGCACGTGTGAGTGTGTGCCCAGAATCCTGAGAGGAGAATGGAGAAGAAACTGTGGCGTGGCCATCTTCCCGGGGATGATTTCTCACATTCTGTCTCTCTGTCTCTCCAGCGAGCGCATACACCCTATGGCAAAACTTCTAAAAAAGAGTCATAACTTTTTGTTGTTGTTGTTTTTCTATGCAAAAATGTACCCTGATTTTTCCAATGACCCCATTGAAAACAGAGATTCTAGACCATGCAGTGTGTTATCAGTGTGTCTCCCTGACCCTGGCTCAGTTAGTTCCTTAGTCTTTGTATTTGGAATACGGCATGGTCACTTTGTAGAGTGTCATTCACTTCGGGTTTTTCTGTTTCCTCATGATGAGATTCAGGTTATGCATTTTTTTGTAAAGCGATCACAGAAGTGGGGACCAGCAGTTAGCATAATGGCTATGTCACTGGACTCCCATGCAGTCGACTGCAGTTCGAGTCCCGGATCCAGTGACTTAAACTCACACACGTGTGTGTGTGCCCAAGATCCTGAGAGGAGAATGAGGGAGAAGGGATTGTGGTGTGGCCATCCCCTTGGGGGGTGATTTCTCGCTTTCTGTCTCTCTGTCTCTGTCTTTCTGGCAAGCGCACGCGCCCTATAGCAAAAACCTCTCAAAAAAAAAAAAAAAAGATCACAGAAGCAATGTTGTGTTTTTCTCATTAACCATGTCAGGAAGCACAAGATACCAATTTGCGCCATTACTGGATACGCTAACTGTGAACATCTGATTACGGTCGTGCCTGCCAGGTTTCCCCACTGTCAAGTTATTATTTTTCCTTTGATTATAATAATAAGGATCTTGAAGGGAAGAAAGAAAGTTTTTTAAAACATAAAACAGTATGAGAACAAGAGATTTTTAAAAATACGAAAAGTAGTAAAATATAAATGAATCAAGAATAGATTAAACGAAGCAACTCATATTCTAAAAAAAAATGGAATACATTTAAAACACATCTACTTTTAAAAAAAAATCATATAATATACACTATTTTTAATAATGGTCTTACATTTTTTTTCCTATAGAGACCAAGTCTGGCTGAAAGAAATAAATTGGTGCTAAGTGGAAAAAAAGAAAAAAAACAATGCATTCTAACAATGTGTGTGAAGGTGTCGAACAGAATGGTTCCTTTGGGATGATGATATGCATTAATAATAAAAGGACTCAAAACATACAACTCTGCGCATTTGTAAAGGAGACAGTCTTACCTTGTAGTAGACGGACAGATCAGTGACCTGTATGTGATTCAATACATGATTGGTCCTTGTACAGCTCAGCAAAAGAACTGATGCACACGGATCACTCAGACCACCACTATTTGGGCTTTACAAACTCCCTTATAAAAAAAATAAAAAAAAATAAAAATATCTGTGACCATATGCTTCCCCATGTGGCCCTCCAGGTGTCACTATTAAGGTTCACTGAAATGTTTCAACCATTGTCCTCCCACCAATCCCTCTCACATGCTGTTGACATAACTTCTAATGAACCAACGGGCATAAGGATACAAGGTGTGGAGGGAGGAAATAATGAAATAGAAAATACTGTCAATCTGAGTTTTGATAACCCCTAAAGAGATGGTCAAAAGGACCCTATCTGCAACTGGAGAAAGGCAGGGTTGGGAAACAATTTAAAATACTAAATCCTGGTGAGGACCAACACTCCCATCAGAAGAAAAGCTTCAAAACACAGTTGTGGCAGGTGCTGGGTGAGCAGAATTTTTGCCCAGCCTTAACTAGATTCATAGGATACTATCAAAAGAAGACAGAGCTGTGGATACCATGACGCTTTGGTTTATTTTTACATACTTGCTGGCTACAAGAGGAAGAGTACACTTCTACGAAACATGGAAACAAGGCTTTGGCTGAGAAAACATTCATTCAATAAATTATCTTAAATCAGACAAAAAAAACGTTAGCTTTATAAACTTCTAATTCATTTGATCCAAAGAGAAACATGGCATGAGTTTTAAAAGTCATAAGGAAATAAGGTTGACATTTTTCACTGTGGCAAAATATACAATGTTTCTCAAAGGCAATTAGAAAAAAAATGATCGAACAGAGAAATCTGGGAAAATCAAGATAATAAAATTCTGAACCACTTAAAGTGACATACTTTCAAGCACACTTGCAAAATGTTTCCTTAAAATAGGCCTGGGACCATGAGATGGCATAATGGTTACATGGCTGGACTCCCAAGAAGTCAACTGTGGTCTGAGTCCCAGACCTGGCAGCTTAAAAAAACTTACATTGGGCACATGTGTGTGTGTGCCCAAAATCCTGAGAGGAGAACGGAGGAAAAGGGATTGTGGCGTGGCCTTCTCCTCCATGGGGTGACTTCTCATTTGCTGTCTCTGTCTCTCTCTGACTCTCTAGTGAGCACATGCAAAAATATAGCAAAAATCTCTCTCTCAAAAAAAAAAAGTATTCCTGGATAAAACAGATATTCACATCTCTGACGTCTGAACTGAAGTTGTTCCTTGGAATAAAAGTCAGTCTTTTAAAGACATATAGCTTTGGGACCAGCAGATGGCATAATGCTTACACAGCTGGGCTCCCACATGGCTAACCACAGTTCGAGTCATGGATCCGGAGCCTTGAAACTCATGCCCGGCACGTGCGTGCCCCAAATCCTGAATGGAGATCAGAGGAGAAGGGATTGTGGTGTGGCCATCCCCCCTTGGGGGTGATTTCTCACTTGCTGTCTCTGTGGTGAGCGTATGCAACCTATAGCAAAAATCTCTCTCTTAAAAAAAAAAAATGTCTTCTTTGAGGAATTCTTATATCTTCAGTATTTTCTTACATTCTGAACAATTCAATGAATTTGGGACATAACTTAAGAAATAAATGGTTACCCCTACATGGTAAACTGAGCATCCTGAAAGCATTTATTGTATCATATAAAATATGAAAAATACTTTGCTTGTATTTTTTTGCTTTAAATACTTTGCTGGCGTTTGATTTTCAAACATTCAGTTTCACATGCCATTGTGGTGTTCGCATTTCAAATGCTACATTCAGGTTAGCGATTTCTTTCGACTGCAGTAGAGGAGATATGGCAAGAAGAATGCTGCAGTGCCGTCTTCTGGGAGAACATTCAAGAAATCCCTCAGTTCTAGCTCCACAGCAATGATCGACAAGGTTTCTGTTTACAGGAAAGAATAACCGAGTTAGAAATCAAAGTCTGTCTCTCATCAATTCTCTTCTCGCTCATCCAACAAATTAGAAGCTATTGGGTCGTCATAGGAGTCATGACACATTTTTGCACAGGAAAAACATAGAAAAATATGTCATGACTTTTCCAACAACCCAGTAACTACAGGGAAAAATATATCAGTCTCTTAAATCCACAGACGATCTATGGGTTTAACAACTTACTTCGCCATTCTAGAATCTTTGGGCGTTTATTTTTATTAGTCCCATGTAATCTGGACTTGCTGAATTACTGCATTATTTTTCAAAACATTTTTATTATTCTCTAAAGAAAAATACAACCATTCTAATACAGTTTTTAATATTAGACTGTCATGTGCCTAATTTATAAGAACTGTTCACTAGAACAGGGAACAACACTAGTTGTTGGGTAACATTTCTCTAAAGCCAGTTCTTGTGGCAAGATGCTCATGTTATAAACAAGCACAAGTGGGTTTTAATAACCATTTATATTTTTTCCCAAACTGCTGAGATGCTTTAGTGAGTATTTTCAATATTAAGGAATGTATCAAATGTTTTCATAAAATTATCCATGCAGCATTATGATTCTATTGCTTCTTCATAACTACATGCTGCCCACTCCCCAGAGAAGAGGGCGCCACGTGAGAGCATCATTCCCAGTAAACACCTGTCTGGTCGTTGAATTACCCACACCCCCGTGGGATTCCCGGTGGGACTCTGGCCACGACTTCCTCTATTTGCAGACTGAATGAAATATACGATCTAACCAAAGTCATCAGCCCAATATTTAGCAACTTAAATCATCTTTTGCACAAATAAATGACCTGCAATTGTTGCTGAAGAACCAGTGAATGCACTCAAATCTCCAAGTTTACCAGGAATGATCTCTCTAAAGCTCTGTGCTTAAAGTCTTCCAGCACATCTAGAAAATATCCACCAGATATTGAAAACGGTCATTTGTGGCTGGTGGGATTTTAAGTGGCTTCTAAAACTTTATTTTTGTAATTTACTATAGTACGAGAATTTTAAAAAATAACCATCTCGGGGGGCCAGCAGGTGGCATGGTGGTTAAGGGCACTGAACTCCCACATGGCTAACTGTGGTTCAAGTTCCGGACCTAGTGGCTTGTTTTCTCACTTTCTCTCTCTCATTCTGTCCCTCTCTGGTCAAATTAAAAATAAATAAACAAGGTCAAATAAAATAATTATTTAAACTTAAAAAAAAATAACCATCTCGGGCCAGCAGGTGACATGGTGGTTAAAGTGCTGGATCCCCCATGGCAGGTGCCAAAGTTCAAGGCCTGGAACCAACGGTTTGAAAAACATGCTCAGTGCATGCCCAAAATCTCAAGAGGAGAATGGAGAAGGGTTGCAGCATGGCCATCCCTTCTGGGGGATAATTTCAAAGTTTTTCTCTCTGTCTCTCCCACAGGCCCATGTGTCCTATGGTAAAATAAATAAATCATTATTACAAAAGCAGTAACAATTACTGTTACAAAACATTTGAACAAACTGTTTTTTTTCTTTTCCTCTTCTTTTTTTTTTTTTTTTTGAGAGATTTTCACTCTCGGGCGCGC